GATGAACATTATTTCAGACACATTTAAAAGACACGTGTCGTCCGCACTGAATTTGGTATAATTCGTTTATTTCAATTTAAGTGTTACCAAATAAATTGGACCAAATGAAATATCGAACTTATTTAGTCCATCGTTTGTCTATTATTGGTAATATTTATACATTCATGCAATATACAGGTTGAAACTTGATGCATTTTTGCAGCCTTTTGTATCTAAAGCAACTTTATTGAATGTTGTGAATATTCCGTAATGTGTGAAGATTGTTTTTGCCAATTTGTTTGAACAAATCACCGATGATTTTTTTTTTTTAAATTAGATAAATATACAGCAAGAAATGCCGTTTTTTACTAAAACTAGGAAAATGTGATAAAAATGAATTATTTCCAAAGAATTATTACCCAAATTCAAAGCACACTTATGATGAGAAGATATTCCAAATATTTTAACAAAAACCCGCTTGCGTTTATCTTGTAAAAAAATGTTAGGTATGTCTTTTCAAAGGATAGAAATTCAAAGAAACCAAAATTTCCAGTAAATGTCAAAAATTTTGACCCACTTATCTCTAAAAGTAGCGCATGAAAGTATATATTTTTATTACATAATTGAATTGACTACGTGAAAAATAGCTTCAATCAAACTTTCGTCAAAAATTCACCGTGGGATCAAAATTGTAACGTACGATACAGTTACAGGGAGATAATGACGTCGCTAACGTAAAATGTTATTTTGCGCGACAGCAAACTGTGACATATTAGGAAAAGATGCATTTTTAGACTCATTTAAATCATTTGCTTGAAACGAATGCATTGGCCCCTGTTGTTTTAAAATGTCATTTGGCTTAATTATGCATGAAGATTATTTGTACCATTTTATATATATAGAATTTTTTTAAATTAGATAAATATACCATAAAAAATGCCCCTTTTATCTTAAATAATGAAAAGTTAATAAAAAATAATTATTCCCTAAGAATTGTTGCACTAATTCAGAGCATACTTATGTAGATAGGATATTCCAAATGCTTTTACAAAAATCCTTTAAAAAATGTGGATCTTTTGAAACAAAAAAAGTGGTAACCGTAAATGTATGTCTATCCAATGGATAGAAATATCCGAGAAACCGAAACTTTTAGTAAATGATTCAAATTGCGACCCCTTTTATCTCTAAAAGTAGCACATTAAGGTATATTTATTTTACATATTTGAATTAACTAGGTGAAAACTAGCTTGTTTGCAAATTTTCGTAAAAAAATCACCGTGGGATCAAAACTGTATCGTATGCCCTTAAGCGTACTGTCTGTGGACTATTAATGACGGTGTTACACAATAAAGACTTATAACGAAGTTGGAGAGCATTAAAATCCAACAATTCCAATGTGGTTTCATCGAATTAGACTTATCACCGAGTTAGTACTTATATAAGCAACACGAGGGGTGCAACATGTGGAGCAGGATCTGTTTATCTTTCCGGTTAACCCCGTTTTTTGTGGGGTCCGTGTTGCTCAGTCTTAAGTTTCTATATTGTATCTTGTGTACTGTTGGTTGTCTTTTGGTCGTTTTTTTTTTTTTTTTTTTTTTTTTTTTTTTTGTCATGTCGTTGCCAGTTTGGCATCTACTTATGAGTTTCAATATATATTACTTTAGTATTAACCACCTCTCTTCCAAGAAGACGTGAAATAATTTGAAGACCAGCTATACCATGGGATAAGAAAACCTTAGTATTTTAAATAATAAACACGGTTTAATGACAATAAATGTACAAAATAACCGTATCAATCAATAAATGATACTAAATGTCATCACCATAAAACACTTTCTATTCGACTGGATATATTTTCAGAGAAGAAGCGTCTACCAGCCAAGTAATCGACCCACTGGTAATGAACACTCATAAAAAGTCTTATAATTTGATACACAAGATGTGCGTTCATTCTACATAAGACTTATCAAAGGTGGTCGAATAAAAACAGTTGAAAGGTCAAACCAGTAACAAAGATAAAGAGTATGTTGTGCCAAATCCGGCTAAGGCCATGTACGTATCGGTGTAGAACAACTTAAGTCATTTGAATTGAATTGTTTTTTGATTTCATAACAGTAATTTGAGATAAAATGACCTTACCAATGATTAACGATGGTACTATGATGTCTTCTGTTTTTATAATTTTATAACTTACTGCATTGGTTTTTATCCCGTCGAACTTGAAATAAGGGATAACACACATACAGATTAGTCTGTCTCATAATTTGACTTGCATCAAGAAATTGAGAACAAGGATCGATCGAGAACATATCTTTTGATCTAAGCGAATGTTTTAAGCTTTCCAAATATGAACTGTCCATTCTATGTAGCGACATTTCAGCTGCACCTGCATATGGAGTATGTGTATCTCAATTGATAAGATATTCCAACGCGTGCGTTTTATATCATTATTTACGTGATAGATGGCTGCTGCTTACAAGGATGCTATTGCATCAAGTGTTCTAAGTGGTAAAGTTGAATTCATCTCTTGAAGTTCTTAAGTATAACGGACGCCATCACTAGTGCATGACCGTTATGGTTTATCTGTGTCCTCCTTTTCGCGAGTGTGACATTACCGAAGGAATGATACTAATCACCGAATTGATACTTACCATTAGTAGTACGAAAGGTTCTGTTAGTTGAGCAAGATATTATTACCCTTCTGGAGTACATGAAGAATATGAAACAATTCAATTGAGAAAACTTACGTTTATAACAGTTATAGTCTGGTTATTTTACTTTTTTGTTGCATTTAAATGGATACCGCGATTTTAATCTCTAAATTTCTTACTCATGGTAATATTTTTCTTAATATTGAAAAATATTTACCCTGATTTAGTGTTAACTTCAACTCAGCCGTTAAAACATTACAAAATCAAAACGGAATGACGAATTGTGCATACAGTGACAAGAAAAGAAAAATAAAACGACAAAAAGCAATTAGATGTGAAGAAATGACATGCATGCAAGTTCGAACGAGAAAATGTACGTCGGCAGAATGAACATGTTCTCTTGGCAAAATATTCATAACCATATAATCTGTTGTCGGTAATGTGGGTAGCACGTTATTATTTACCCCCCCTTTCACTGTGTTTTAGAGCTTTTTCCTTTGGAATAAGTTGCTGCCCCTTTTTCTGTCTTTTTTTTTTCACTGATCATCTCAATTATGTTATGTTTTTTTTTATGATTTGAAATGTTATCATGTAAGTTAAAATTATACGAAGACAAAAAGACACATCCTAAAAAATGACCGAAAAAAAAGAGTCGAACTGGGAATAAATTACCAATTCATACTGAGCACCGATTAGGTCACTCCGATACTCCAATTGACACCAGTTTTTGGTAATAAACGATTATTCAAGGACGTCAATGATCTGTTGAACGGAAGTTGTATGATTAGAGGAGGGACAGTAATTTGAGGCATATATGTATGGATAATTGACGTGGTACAATGGCGTATACAGCAGCACAAAAATAAATTTAGGTTTGAAAGTAATTTATTTTATAAGCAACAGTATAAAAACTTCTGTAACCTACTATTCTCATCACTTGCCACATCAAGCAGGAAGTTCTGGTAATTCTGTTTTTCTTTTCTCTCATTTTCATTATTTTCTATAGTGTGTTCTTTTTTTTTTATCTTAACAATAATCAATACGGTCCACGCAGAAAATGTACCAATAACTTTAACGATGCTCATTTTACTGCACCAGATGCACAGGTTGACAATTGCTGTCTCTTCAGATATGCTCGAAGCCAAAATTTTTGAAAACCCCAAAGCGTAGAACACACGTTGCAGAGCTGATAAACATTGACGATTTTCACTTCTCAGTGTTTGAAGAGGGAATATGTGTTTGCCACTGGAATTGCAACTGAATAAAGCCCTTAGTTTAAAAAAAAATTCCAGATTCTGTGTAGGTTCCTTTAATCCACTTAGCTCGTCAAGTATTTATACGTCATTAGCTTTCAATTTTAGGTGTTTGGGCGTGTCTTATAACGGTTAATTCTGAAAAGCTCTCGGAAGAACCAAAATCGTACTGTTATTCGACTTCCCAAGAACGACTTCTTTCTTATGGTTTTCCAATAAATGTCTTCCAATCATGTCCATATTTAGCTAAACTTCTTTCCTTGAAACTCATCTTTTCTGAAGAAGCAAGTAAGCTATTTTCATCACTTGGCCGTCCATCAACTTTACAAGAATCTTCCGCTCTGAACCTACTGGACCAATCCTTAAGTATCTAGTTTAAAATTGTGTCCGTTGATTTAGCCGGCTACACACATGTCTAAATTAGAACATAGGGGTAAAATTCTAGGTTTGTCTGTTACTTTGACATGCTTTAATACCGCTTTAGATGGAGAAAATCCGACAGAAGCAGAAATGTTTAGAATGTTCAGATCTTCTTACAGTTTATTTACATTAAAACTATTAAACGACTTCTAACAGGAGTTATTGTCCTTAAATGACGAATTTTACACTTTTTTTTTATTTTGCTTTTTATCTTGAAAACTATAAAAGATAACAAGAAAGTCTAAATGGTAAAGTGATCAGCTACCAAAGATCTACAAATAAGTCAGATGTGCCAAAATCGTCAGTTGTATTAATCTAGGAGTTATTGCTATTAAATGACGACTTTTAAAAATGTTTCTTTTTATTGTGTATTATTTTGAGACTACAATAGAAAAAGAAAATATATATATATAGCAAAAATCGTCAACAAGACATGATCTACAAATAAGCTGATATTGTTGATATCGTTGGATGACTCTCTATGGAAGTGAATGCCCTAAATCAACAATTGTTACCAATTATTTGCGTGTTTTACTTATCATCTTGAAAACTATTATAGATAAATAGAAATTCCAATAGAAAAACAAATCAGCAGGACAAGATCTACAAAAAAATAAACATGACCGAAATTATCAGACAATTTTTTAAAGGAGTTATTGTCCTTTAATTTAGATTTTTTTTTTTTTTTTTTTTTGTAAAAATTTAGTGGATAAAGAAAACCTGTAAACAGCAAAATCGGTAGAAGTAGCTGAATTGTCAGTTGACTCCATATTGGAGTTATTGCCCTTAAAATAAGATGGAGAGAAACTGTATTGAGTATAAAGGATCAACAGAAAACGATCAACCGATTTGAAAAGATAATAAAGTCATGAATTATTTTCTTGTCTACAATGTTGGAGAGTATGCATTGTTGAAGATGCACTTAAATCTAGGTAAACGACACATGTTTTTAAGAGCTTTTAGTTTGGTTTTGCTTAAAGTTTGTACTTGGTTTTAGATTTTCAAATCGTTTGGCCTCGAGCATTACTAAAGATACGGTTATTGTCGAAATACGTATTGGTGTAGTGAAATTGGTACCATTAATGTTATTATATGATATGTTCATCGTATCTGAGATATGAACTGCAAAGAAAAAATTAAATGAAGTCATTGAAGCGTAATATATAAGTTACAGTAATTTTTTTATAGTTTTGAGGTTGCTTTTTTTCTTTTCATTTTTTTTTCAAAATAAATCAACTATACCATACAATTCAACAACATTTGTATTCATGTTGTATTTGATAAAGATATTCATCAACGATATACAATCTATTATGATATGAAGTCAAGTCATTTATAAAAAAATAATATACTATTCTCAATTTCCATAAGCATGTTTGTCTTTCATTTGGCACCATCTGCTATCTTTATATGTTTGTTCAGCCTTATGAATGGGGTCCAAACATCACGACTATTTTCACTTGTAGGCTCTTTATTCGTGAACTTGGATATAACAATCAAATATCGCACAAGAATGAATTAAGATCATCCTGAAAGCAAAGTTTGTAATTTTAGCTCAAAATTTATATGCTATCTGACCTCGGACATTAAACTTAAACGTAGTCAGTGACACTATGACGATGTGTAAATGGCAATGCATGCACAATAATGTTTACTATGGAGACGCACATAGCACATGTCCAAGCATTTAAAGATCTTAGATTCCGATTGTTTTTTCTCCCAACTTCTGTGTATTTGTACCTAGGCTTTGCAACTGATACCGGTATGCTACCTTTGTGTCAATAGTAATGACGGTAATTTTTGATGACCATGGGAAGACATGACTTATTCCAAAGGAGCAGGTTTTCGCAAAACATGGGAGAAAATGAGTTGAAATACAATTAAACACAGATATACACAATTTCAAAATCCTCGGACATTTTTTTGTCTTCACGTGGTGCATTCTTCTTTTCAGCAATACTTTTCGGGTTATGTTCTTTTAGACGCATCTCTACAATACACTGGCCTATCTGTATTTTTTCTGGGAGATGGTTTTTAAATGGCTCACATATCACTATTCGATCACCGGTTTCAATGTTTGTTATTCTACGTTTCTGTCGATATCGCTCACGATAATGTTTAATGATTACACATTGAAACGTTTCCAAAACGTTTGCTATTTGTGTGTCCTCGACCTTCGGTGGGAGCTTTTTAATCCTTATCATCACCATACTTTCATTTTTTATCTTCAGTAACATATCTTTGACGGAATTAAAATCTTGTTTAGTACCAAATTTCGCTCTATGTAATACGTCTGATTGAAGATCCATCTGACCAATAACGTCAAGATGTTTTGTTTCAATTATTCTTCCAAAATTTCTTTCTCCCACATGGTAAAGTTTATTCAGCTTAGAGTAATATTCATATTTTCTTGGAATACAATGGATATGTTTTTCTATCAACTCCTTTCTACCGAAATAAAATTCCAAGTGACAGGGTGAATAATGTTTCCTATTCAAAACATTGCAAAAAGTGGCAATGACATTGTTTGGCATGTCAGAAAGCATACCCTCATAGTCTTGTAATACACAATAATGCAATAAGCAGTTACCAAATGGGTCCATATTACAATAAAAAAGCATATCCTTTGCAACTAAACATTTTTTGAACACTTCAAAACTAGTTCCCACTTTTGAAAATGCACTGCAGAGATTCAAATAAACATCACATTTCGCAGTTTCTTTTTTCATGTAGTGCTGACAAAAAGTGTTTATAAATTCGAAGCAAGAGGGATAACATTTTAGAAGATATTGACTCACGGACCATGAACTTCCGCCAAGAAGTTCCATCTCTAATCTTTCGATGATCAGAGAGTTTTTTACTGGACGTATACATACGTCGTATTTATGAAAAGGCCATTCGCAGGGTCTAATATAATCCTCGATGTAACTCCAGTTACAATTTAACAAACAATAGTCTTCATCGGCATCTATATAAGACATCCAAACAGCTTTTAACATCGTTGTGTGATTAAATTCAAAAACATTGCCTGAACATTTCAAAAAAGTTCTTTCTAAATCTTTGGCGGCATCTTTTAGTTGGAAAAATTTCAGGTCCGAATAACTTAAACGAATCTTTTTACAAATAAGATGTAATGTTTTGTCTTCTTTTTGAAGATTTGGTAGGATTGTACGTTCTTTCATCATAATATACACTAATACCGCATATTTGATTTTTTCAAACGAGTCAGTTTTGTTACGTAACATATTAATTTGAGAAATGACAGAATCTGAAGGCGTATTAAAATAACGATGTTCAAGGTGTAATAGTGAACGATTACTAAAGAATTTCTGGCATGCTGAAGGAAAACCTGTAAATGTATTTGTATCAACAATGTTATCCAATATTCTCTTGTACATTTTTATAGGCTTTTCAGGGTTTTCTATCACATCTGGATCTTCATAATTTGATTCATACGTGTAATCACATCTGTTTATTTTAGTTTTAGACATATGCTTTTCCAATATGCCAACTTTGTCTTTTCGGCATAGTGGATCTAATCGGAGATGCTGTTTGACCTCAAATTTATCTAGAAATAACTCTTCACTTCCGTAATGTGATGTTGTCGTAATTATAAACTTTAACTTAGGACTTTTGCAATAGTTTTTGCATATCTTCAACAAATCTTCATTTTCTCCATGTTTTAAATTGACATCAAGGATATATAATTCAGTATGTGAAGTATTTGGTCGGATAAAATGGATTGCGTTTTTCATATCACTGAATGAAATAATCAAAACTGTAGATCTATTGCCTTTGTAATGATTTGCAATTTCAAGGCAAAGACTTGATTTTCCAGATCCTTCAAGTCCCACAATAATCAACGTGTTAAATAAACGCAGTGTTTCTAGTGCAATATTTACTGTTGATGTATTATAATATGTGTCATCTTGTCGGTGATTTTCTACCTGTTGCATAGTGTTACCTTTAAAAAAAAAAAAAATTAACTAGCCTATGTGAGGTTCGTTAATCATCAAAACATAAATTCAGATATCAAATATCACAAAGACATAAGGGCAATAAGTTATCTTGTATGATAAGACTATTTTCTTGGCCCTTTGAATGGCTAATTTAAAACAACTTTTATACTTTTCCAAATAATATCCTTCATATTTTCATACGTTTTATATTAGTTAATGCGTTTGTCAGATTGCAGTATTTATAGTTTTGAATATTGTCTTGAATATTTGTTTTAGGGCTTCAAACTAAACTAAAACAAAAAAATAAACACAAATAAAAGGTCTCATTTTGAGACCTTGTCATCAATATTTAGATATGAATCAAGGTATATTTTACATAGATGCTAAAAACGTCGCATAAGAAACCAAGGGATATTAAAAACTCAACTCGAAGTTTTTATGGAATTCCTCTTTTTGAAATTGCCTTTGAGTTCGGTATTTTTGTTATACTTTTTTTAATAAACACTGACTACACCATGGCAAAAACAATTAATGCTCTGCGGGGCCCAGCTTGATACGACCGCAGAGGTCGAACCATGGACAGTTGGGGCAAGGATGGGCAATACATTCAAGCTTGAAACAGCTCTGAATGTGGATTGTGATTAAACATTTGACAAAGAACTGAAAAATTTAAGATTGGACTTTTACCTATTATGGTCCAATATCGAATATCCAAAATCTAAATGGATTAATCTTTTTTTTTGTGTTTGCATATTGATTAAAGTGGGGTACAGATGGATATGTATGGAAGTTGAGGTATATTTGTTATCAGGTAATGATTGAAGTTTTAAACATATTGAAACTTTGGGTGATGGGAAAGGTGAGGAAATTCATTTTTGTTGACATAGTTAAACTGTTAGCATTTAGAAATTAATATTGATAAATAAGCAATTTTACGAATAAATGATGTAGTGGAAATAAAATGCAGAGTAAAATCATAACTAAGTTTAGAGTATAATAGAATAATATTATAATGAACTGAAGATTGGTTTACCTCTTATGCAAAATAGGATAATAATATGGGATAAAATTGTGCCATGCGATTGGGCATGAATTGGAAATTGTGGTTTATGGAGGAGGTAATTTTTCATTGTTAACAATCTTGAAATAGAACAATGCATGAACAATTATCACTAAAACTAATATATCTCAATCAGCAAAATTCTTAGTAACATTTAATAAATGCCCCGCTGGGCGCAGCTTGATATGACCACAGAGTGAGATATATTTGCCACAGCACAGGTTTCTGACACAGAATTAATGTGGTCAAAGAACAAGAAAATTTGAAATTAGACTCTTACCTATTATGGTCTAATATACATGGTTAGATTCAGCTTATCCAAATACAGCAAGAATTTCATTTATTTATTTATTAATGGACAATATTAGCTAAGTTTTTAAAGGGGTTCGCTTCATCAAAAATTAATATATATATATATACATGTATAAAGCATTCTGAAAGTTAATTTATACAGAATAACAAACAAACCTACCACAAAGGTCTTCAAAAAATTTAACAAAAAAAATGAAAATAACAATTTTAAATATATTATTCATCATTAATACAATGTCTTTAAAAAATCTATAAAACTTACCTGTAAATATTTATCAAAATATCTAATTTATAACAGTAAATTTCAAACTAAATTTATACATAATTTCTAAAATAAGAATTTGATGCTGTATCTATTTTTGACTATGCGTCTACTAACAATTTCTATTAATTGTGCAATACAGCTCTTGATTTAGATTGTGATTTTGTGATGTACAAATTTTTGACATAGCATAGGTTTTTGACACAGAATGAATGCTGTCTTAGAACTTTGAAATTTGAAATTTGACATTTACATATTATTGTCCAATATCCCAATTCTAAATACATGGTTTTATTCAGCATATCAACGAACGACAAGAATTGAATTTTTGATGAAATCAAACAAAGATTAATTTTGGACCCTATGGACCGCAATGTAAACCAATTTGATAACAAGGCCCAAAATCCAAAAATCTAAATACACAGTTAGATGCAGAATATAATAAAAAAAAACATTAATTATTTTTTTGTTGATATCAAACATAGTTTAATTTTGGACCCCGAATTGAACCATCTTAAAAACTGGGCCCAAAATCTAAAATCTAAATACATATATAGATTCAACATATCAAAACACCTCTTGAATTCAATTTTTGGTAAAACTCTTTAAACCTTAATGTGGACCAATTTGAAAACCGGGCCCAAAATCAAAAATCTAGATTCGAAATCTAACAAAGTTTAATATTGGACCACTTGGACCTCAATGTGAACAAATTATAAACGGGGCCCAAAATCCAAAATCTAAACGCGCTGTTAGTTAGATTCAGCATATTAAAGAACCCCAAAAATTCAAGACTTTGAATTGAACACCATTGAAATTGGTAAAGAAATAAGTAATTCATATAAAGTATTAGAAAAGTATTGTTTTGGCCCCTTTTCCTAAATGGTTAGGGCCTTAACCCCCACGTCCGGAAACATGAAAATCCTAGTTTTTGGGCCCCCTTTTTGGCCCTTAATTCCTACACGGTGTGGGCCATAACCCCCAAAATCAATCACAACATTCCTTTTCAGCCTTTTCAGCCTTTAATTCCTTATTAGTTAGGACAATAATCCCCAAAATCAATCCCAACCTTCCTTTTCCAATTTCAAAAAGATCCATACACTTATACTCAAGTTATTGTCTGGAAACCAAATGTCTTCGGACGACAACGATGACGACGATATCGTCATTCCATTATTCGGCCGCAAATATTTTGTGGTTGCATAACGAGAGACGACAAAAAACAAACAAGTGCACAATACGAAAATAAAGCTCCTCCATTAAAAGAACATCTTTGATCTGAACTTTGCCTTAACATGACTAACGTAAAATACATTAAGATTATAAAAATAAATGTCACCTTATAATACATTTGCCTTGGAATTCAGTATTTTTGTATTGCTTATTTCACATTTGACGAGAATATTAAAAACTAGTTTTCACATTTGACCTTTATATAAAATCAAATTTCACATTTGACCTTTATATAAAATCAAATTTCACATTTGACCTTTTTATAAAATCTAATTTCACATTTGACCTGGATATAAGAACAAATTTCACATTTGACGAGGATATATAAAAAAAACAAATTTCATATTTGACGGAATACATAAAAAAAAACATTTGCTTTTACTAAAATACAAAAACCAATTTCCTATTTGAGGAGGATATTAAAACGATTTCACATTTTGGCGAGTAACGATAGCAACAAACCATTACAAAATTATATATTTGATCAAATAAGAAAATTTCTCGATATCCTGTATTTTGTAAAACCGTTTGCGTACATTTTGTTTTGGGAAAATATGCACGTATCAAAATAACAACATTATATTTGGTGAGATGATGTAAATACTGTATCTGTATTTACACTTTTTCCGAAATTGTTTTGTTGTTTTTTCTGTACACGATAATATGTTTTGGAAACTGCATGAAATTCGCAGTTTCTTTGTTATAGCGAAACATGCACTCATTATAAACACTACAGACCAATAAAAGTCTGAAATGGCCTACATCTGTACTCGACTGTACTGATTTTTACTCGACCAGTCTGAATTGGTCTTTAAAAAGACTATCGGATGAGGAAATATAAGATTTCAAAAAATATATATTCTTATTTTACGTTTTCAACTTACACTTATTTCTATGGTACAAATACTTAACACACAAATACTTACTAACTATCGTCACTCGTGAATCTAAAATAAAAAAATGTTTAAATGAAATTGATACAAATTGAATATCGAACGGCATATTAAAAAAAGAATTTAAAAACACTTGAATTATGCCAAGCAGGTTAAATGACGTGTATAAAGAAAATCATTACATTAACAATCGATGTTGCAAATAAAATGATTAAGACAATGTAAGCTGTAATCCCTAATGGTTATAACTTGTACACATTGATACAAGTCAGCCTTGTGTCTTATTATGTACAATTGTCTCTCATATATATCGAACCTTTCTTTTCTTCTTTATTTAACTTGAAGGGAAGAACAATATATTTTTTAAGATCGCAATGAAAATGTGCATATAATATATGTATCATGCAGGAAATTGATTTTTTAAATGTGGTCAAAATTTGCTCGAAGGGGGAAAAAACAACAGCTTAATATGGATTGAAATTGAAATAATTGTTATAATTTACCCAACGTTACTTTTTCCAATATAAACATTCAAATTTTTTTTTTATTTATAACATTTTTTAAAGACCACATTGTTACTTCGTGATTAAAAACAACCACGAAAGCATTTTCCTTTGCTGTTATTTTAACTCAGTTATTTTGTGTCATGAATTGGTATTGATGTCATCTCGTATGTTTTTGAATATGAAGAAAAGGGGATCCGGTTGTATGTCAATAAGACACAAACAAACGACAAAAAAATAAAAAAACGGGCAACATTCATTCTTCAACAATAAAATACGTTACAAGAAAATAAGTTTTGTAAGTAAAAGACCCAAATTTGTGAGATACAAGAATGATATATAGACGAGTACTGCAATTTAGTTTATGACTACCTTTCTTTGGTCAAAGAGACAAAAAGGATCACACACACGCGTAACAGTTCCCTTTACATGATAGCATTATATAAACAGATTTACATATAGATATAAACATAAATAGAGGCAATTGAGTTGGTTGTGTAGTACTGGAATATCCAAAGCAAAGTAATCATATGAGTTCTCTGTATGATTGAATGATTCAAACGATGATCCATGTGAAAAATAACCAGTTAAAAAATGATTTTTTTTTCATTGTCCGGAACTCTTTTCAGAAACAAATCATATGCATTGAATAAATGGTTGGTTACTCTTGAATGATCCCAACGTGGAAGTATTTTTTCTCTTAAGATATTTTGTGAATTAACCCCATCGACTTAAAAATTTTACAACGAAAATCTAAATGTGTAAATGTATTTTTCGATTATTTAATGAAAGAAGCTCTGAACATTTATTATTTTCTAAAATGAAACTGTTCTGTGTGCTGATATAAAGAATATTTCAAACAAATTCCTTTAAAGTTTTATGTATCAAAATGTGTAACAAATGATTACTTAAATCCCCACTGGACGGCCTCTGACAGACGGAGTGAGCGTAAAATCATTGCTATCGATAGCCGATGACAAACAAGTTAAAGGTAAATGATTCAGTATTATTAACAACAAAAGTACTACGGTTTTCCACACCGTTACGATAATACCTCAAAGTTCTGAGCGTAATTTGTGCTTTAAATGAAGAAAAAAAAATTGAACGTTATTTACATTTGCTACCACTAGTTATCATTAAAATATGGAGTAGTGGTATAATTACCAATGAGACAACTCTCTACAAGAGACAAAATGACACAGTAATTAACTATAGGTCACCGTAAGGCCTTCAACAATGAGTAGAACCCATACCGCATAGTCAGCTATAAAAGGCCCCGAAATGACAAATGTAAATCAATTCAAACGACAAAACTAACGGCCTGATTTATGTACAAAATAATAAGCGAAAAACAAATATGATATACAGTGTTTATTCTAATCGCTCATAGTGCTGGCCAGGAGTCAGTGCTTCGCAACCCTATCACATGATTTAACACAACTGTCTTTTCTCAGTTTATGGTTTTGGTCATACAGTTTTGGAACTATTTATGCAACGTTGACAGTGGCGTATGTCTTTCATTGAGGACCGATATATATTATGTCTTTTTGTTTTTTGTCGTTTGGTTGCTGTCTATTTAACGTTAAGCATACACGTGCTTACCGTGTCATCGAATATAGTCTTACTTCAATTTGATTTCACGCTATCATTTTCCCTTTTGTCTGGATAATTACATTGAATTCAGTATGTTATATATTTACATGTACAATGCATTCTACAAACTGTCACATAACCGTGTACATTAATTTTGTCTTATTTATTCTGTCTAACAAGTGTAACTAAAGATTGGCTGAATAGTAGAACAAACAGACTCATTTTGTTGTAAATGTATGAGTCTTGAACTATTGACAAATGGTCAAGTTTGAACTATATTAACTGCTTTTAAATGTTACTGTTCAAAAGTCAACAACTCCGATTAAAATACTTTTTAAACAATTATTATTACTTTTGCTTCTTAACTTCATTTTCAAAGGCAAAAAAAAAATCACTAACATTGTCAAAAACGTCAATAAAGGACAATATGAAAATAAGGAGATGTGGTATGATTGCCAATGAAACAACTATCCACCAAAGCGGCTGTAAGCAATTATAGGCAACTGTAAAATAATTGGGTTTATAACACTAATAACAAAATATGCTGTATGGTATCCCAAAGTAATACGTTTATAGCGTATGCTACCATTTTAATATTGAAAAATATTGTCGATTATTTCACTTAGACGATTTTTGAATTTCACATGGGGAATGGTGGTATAAAGGGTTGAAAAATCAAAGGTTTTGACAGAATTAATTTTTAGAGAAAGATCGAGATTTAGAATTATCCAGAAGTTTTTTAGAGTTTTTTTAGAATCCACATATAGTTAATACCACTACGCGAGTTAACAGTGTCACAGTATTTCTGAAGACCTTCCTTCACTGCGGACAGAATATTTGTTAATCTAATGGAAAATTCCTTTGTAGAAAATGCAGATGAAACCGTTGTTTGTACGGAATTTTGTGAAGCTTAGGTACTTAAAACCAACAAGGTAAGTCCTCAGATTTGCTGTTCAATGTAATATTCATTGAAGCCATGAAGGACTTATGATTTGCAAAAATCTCATCCTTTTCAAATGATATGTGTTTGTATGTGGGATTAACCTGAATTCTCATTTATTCATAATTCTTTTACAAGACACTCGTAGTAGTACGATTTACATACAGAAACAATATTATATGAAGCTTTGTCCGCAGGAACAACAACATATTTATCGTGAAGTGATGATAGACATTTCACGGCTTCTTTGTCTCTGAACACGGATTTTGGTCAATCATTCTCACAGTTTTTCAACTTTTGGATTCGACGTTTGATCAGAGACCTGATTGCTTTAACTCTGAGTCTGACAAAGTGTCCAGTTCATATACTTTAGGTGCAATGGTTTTGGTGTAACTGTAGGATACAATAAGAACAGACTAATTTTGAAAATAAAGTGGAATTTAAGATGTTACCTCTTTGTGATGAAGAACGTTGCTGATGTAGATAGCATCGATTCCTTTACTAGAAAACTGAACTCGAATAAAATTTCCTAATTTCATCATGTAATGGTTCCGATCTTACTGGTTTAAAAAGACGCAAAAGAGTTACATCACAAATTAAACTGACCAGTATGTATATTGGAGAAAATGTATGTATGCATCCCTTGTCAAGTGTATAATCTTTCAAACATTTTAGAAAATTAACAGGCAGTGAAAACAGAATAGTTATAATGTAATGTAACCCTAACGGATGACGAAGATGTGAAAGATGGTCATCAAAGCTCCCAGATTGCGATCTAGATTTGGAAGACTTTTTTACATTGGGCCGATGGTAATGTTTTTGCCCATGACTACGCAGGAGTCTTAAGTTAGTTATAAATAAGCTCATTACATTTACATCACACCAGGCAGGACCTGACAAATTTCCTACTCCTTTAGTGTTATCATTGCAACCATATGGCATTGCAGTACCTAGTTCTCTTATCCAGATATTTCTCTATCTTTTCGGAAAGGAGTACCTAGTATAGGGCTATTGGTGTGGTGATGAATTTTCTCGATGATGAATTGTTCCTTTCCATAAAGTATTCATATACTAGAAGTACTTACATGAATTACTGATAATTGTTTTGCATCTTCTGGCACAGAATGTTCCTATAACAAAATATAATTTTAAATTAGTTTTAAAAAAGTAAAACGATTGAAAGTGGGTATAATGCCACATATTTGTTACATGTTACATACTTGAATATAAAGGATGTCCTCAACAACACTGTACCGAATTTATAAAAAATGAAGCAATCAATAAAACAATCACATAATTTCATGCTTAGGGTTTATAAAATGTAGAATCGAGAGGCTAAGGGACATAAAAAGAATATTCCAATTCATCAAAATAGAAAAAAAGTAACTAGTTAGAGTTGTTAAAATTGAATTTGATCCTTTTGAAAGAAGCTTCTTTCGTAATGCGGTAGTGATACTAAGCATTATAGCAAATATAATGTTGTAGTCAAATGACTAAAGTATCTTTTCATATGTAGGTAAGAATTACCAGACTTAACCAAGATATTAAGTCAGACTTTTCACATCATTTAATTTTTTGTGCCTGTAGTATATTAAACTCGCTAAAGTTCAGTTTGTAAGCTCTTCTCCAGAAATTATCTGCCAAAATAATTTTAGTATTTACATATTTTGTCATCATTAAATGCAAAATTCGGAGAGCGAGCATAATTTGAATTTAGTTATTAACTATCTTTAATTATGACACAACGTTGCACAAAATTTCCAAATAGAAGTATTTTTCTCGCATGTTAATTTGTATAGTATCTTTTCAGTGGAAATTAATGAGAACTTGGTGAGAAACGTATTCAATCAAACACTTGCTTTAAGAACAAAGATAACAAATCTGAAAATGTCCCATATAGTTACCATCTTTAAACATAACATTTGATATCGTGCAGATGTGTATTACACGACACTTTTATGAAGTATGTCGTCACTTGTATTGCTTGTATTGCTCGGTATTTATACATCCCGCCATTGTCTTATTGTGCTTTGGTTATTTTTGTATTCTTGTCTTTCATTTTTGCTTATGTGTGAGCCAAGGCTCCGTGTTGAAGACCGTACTGTGACCTATAATGGTTTACTTTTATAAATTTTGACTTGGATGGAGAGTTGTCTCATTGGCACTCATACCACATCTTCTTATATCTATTTGTCTATAGAGTGTCTATATGGCACTTTGTTTTTCTTTGTTTTATAACACAATGTTGTACCCTACTTTTTGTCATTTTTACCTATTATGTCTGTTTGTTTTGCTCACACATTGTTGTCAGTATAATGGAATTCTATGCGACTGTCATACAACTTAGTGGTTTAGCTAGCTATAAAACCAGATTCAATCCACCATTTTCTACATAAGGAAATGTCTGTACCAAGTCAGGAAAATGACAGTTGTTTTCCATTTGTTTGTGTTTGAGCTTTTGAGTTGGTCATTTCATAAGGGACTTTCCGTTTGAATTTTCCTTGGAGTTTGGTATTTTTGTTATTTTACTTTTTACCAATACTATGTTAGATGATGGAAATTGTTTTTCAAAGAGTTTAAAAAGTTACACCTTTCAGAATGATCAAGACTTAAGACGGTACTTTTGATTTCCGTCGTTACTTCTGAGCCTGTCTGTAAGGACATATATGCAACTTCGATATATATCGTTATATGAAAACAGCTGATCGCCGAACCAAGTTTTTAGTAATAAATTTAAAAATAAGAGACACATAAATTTATTAATAATAAAAAAGAATATACTTAAAAGAATAAAAGGTACAAAACTTTTCAAAATATATGTTTCTTTCACTGTACATGAATGATTGTGTCTGCCTTTATGATACCTACCGAATTTAAGAATACCCAATACCAATAATATTGCTGAAAATAAAAAAAAATATTATTACAAAGTTATAAAGCCTCTTCTGGATCTATGCATTCTTTTCATTATTAGTTATCTACGTTTATATCCGTAGATATGGGTATTTTAACACCTTGAAGTACCCCGACTACACCCTGAGGAGGAGTCAAATGTTGTTAAAATACCCATATCTTCACATACGAATGTAGATAACGAATTTTTCCCCGTCAGAATCGGTCGATTTTGGGGGAAATTCGGAGTTATATTGAAATTTGGAAATTTTGCGTATTTTTTTTAGGGTACTACTACCTTTGGTAGAATCATACAGGAAGTCAAATATGAGACTTTTATAATCCAGAGACAGAGAAACTAGAATAAATCAAATTTGGTGCTAAATGTCGCCACCGTATTGTCATTGATGGTGTGACGTCAACGTGGGTCATTTGCATAACTAGATCAGTAGTCCCATTCATTAACTAAGTGGCAGCTATGTGGTAAATTTCCTAAAATGAATGTCAATGATCGGCATAATAGGATTACATCGTTAGTGGATTGTATATCTAATTACAGACATCATGGATTATCTCCAGAATTCCATTTTTCGCTGGGAACAACCACGGAACGAAGGAAAACGCGCGTGAAGTTCCCCGGGTTAATGAGTAGCAATGCCCGGGTATATGGGTTAGCAACAACCGGGCCTATCAGTTTTTAAAGACAATCATCAGCCAATCAAAATCCCAGAAATATACCGAAACTGGGATAATGGTGTTTAAAGTTTGGCTCATGGCGTTTCCCTAAGAAAACGTATTAATGTTGACTTGTTTGGTGTACATATTTTGATTGCTATGAGACAAAAAATTAGTTAAAAGAATGCGACACAACAACTGGTGGATTCGATTTCGTGTGTTATAATGGACAATGGCTATTCTACCGGCAGGTTTTGGGAATTATTTGATTAAGTTATACTCAGATATCTGTTTTGGGTATATTTTTCAAAACTATACGGTCTTCAACAATGAACTCAATCCATACCGTATAGTCAGCTATAAATTACTCCGAAATGACAAATGTAAAACAATTCAAACGAAGGTCAACTCTGCCCGAGTATCTTACAACATTCTATAGTTAACAAGCGATTATTTAAGGTTTATAGCTCATGTCGGTACCGAATCACTTACTACTGAGCTGATGATGCCATCGGGAGTAATAGGCATTCAGCAGCGGTAACGAATAAGAATGTATAAATACTTAATTGAAGAGATAAAATGTAGACTGTGTAAAACAATATACAAATCTTAGTATTGCTATAGACATTACTGTGAGGTTTATCATGGCAAAAACAAAAACCGTTATCCAAGAAATAAATGAAACCCAAATTATACAGATATATGAAATCTTCAAATTCATATATCAAAATTATTTTGTAATATATTTGGTCACTGCAGTAACATTATTCATTTTCAAGTATCAATGATAAAAATTAGATGTTATAACAAAACACCTATTAGAAACACTTTCTCTTTGATATGTTTAATAAATGTTCATTGAAACACTTAATCTAAGCCTTTGTAAATGTATATATCTTCAATGAATAATTATAAGGATGTCTACATCCTATTTTTAAAATACGATTAATATCAGAGATGCATATTCAGACGAAACAAAAGAAATCATAATGTGACGTTATTGGCTTCATAATATAGAGAGAAGATATAAACTAAAATGTGGTTTAACGTTATGTACACTATCAACTATCTTTAGGCGGTTAATATAGACAGAGAAGACTTCAATTTTAAGGAAGATGACAACGGATGTGTTCCACTTGTCGTAGTCATAATGCTGTCTTTTTTTCCTTAGATAGTAATATTCCAGAAAGCGACTTCACATCACATGTTTACTAACCGTGGGCAATAATATGGGTATTTGTACACAATATCTAAGACTCTCTATTAAAACGATTAATCATTTATAAATAGGTATCGGATCGTTTGAAAATGACGATACAGCATAAATAGGAAAATGCATACGACTATAGAGATTTTTGCATGGATACCGGTAAAATATAGTTAGGTACGAATAAGATGATATAACACAGTATAAAAAAATATTTTACCACAACAGGTGGCCTTTGTCAGTGTGAATTGTTTTTTTTTTAAATGCAATTATACATTACAGTAGTCCTTTGCATGTGAAAACAGCTCACTCATACAGATATTTTTGGATTTTTTCGTAATTATAAGCATCCTCGATTAATCAAAACTCCATTCTATAGGTTGCACTTTGTAAATACAGCTGTTTCACAAAACACGTTTTTTTTGGGGGAGATATATAATATACATAGATATTTTGTTTTGTTTACGTACTGGTTCCTAGATATGATCTCAATGTTTCATCTAATAGAGAAATAACTTGGGAATGTTACCAGTATAGATACACATCGATAGCGGCAAAATTGAATTTTGAGGAGAACCAAAAGTGAAGGCAAGGGAAGTACAGAATTTTAGTATAAGTTTAAACTCTTAGAAGTTCGGGGCAAATAAATGTTGAAAATATGCCACGCAGCCCTATATTTTGACCTTTGAAAAAAATTTAGCACATATGAACTTTCCATTCTAGGATGTATTTTTTTACGAGACTTCACAGTAAAAGTGGCACAGTTTTAGCCGTAAAAGGAGTTGCATTGTCTATATTTACAGAAGTGCAACCTATATGCTTAAAATTGTACTTCTACATCCAGGCATGTCAAGAGGTAATATTGCATGCACAACTATGATTGATCAACACATCTTTAAAACATTGCTATTTCTTTTTGTTCATGCCATTTGTATGGAACATATTAAGTTCCTTTATTCAGAATCTTTTCTAATTTTCCTACAGACCACTAAATATATATCTGCGTAAATTTGTCTAGATTCTCGTCATTTCGGGAGAGATTCTATATGAAGGAACTTATGTTCTTATATTATGTTAACATAAAAAGCTGTTATTTGTCAAGATGTATATATGTGACAACTCTACGACTGACATTATCCGTCGGATATACAAAAGTTAAACAGGACATAGCCTTCAAATAACGTATACAATGTACTTCGTTTGAAATTAAGCAAAACATTGTTATATCTACAAATTAGCTAATTTCCGTCCCTCCATTAGTCAGATTTGAACCCATGCTTCTGTGGACATCGTTGCAACAGTCCCAAAGATCACTGGTCAAATTAGGCTGAATAGTATTTCTATTTATACGTTAAAAAAAATGAAAAACCAGAAACATTTTCAAGAAGATTAAAAATAAAATAATATTCAGGTTAACAAATATCCTTTATCAATAGTAATCAGATACTTTTCTGGATTCAATATATCGATTAGCAATCCTGTTCTATCCATATAAGATTCGTTATTTGTTTTCTGTTAACTTGTTGCAACACCAGCACATTTATGAAATGGGAAAATTCGGAATTGTTGGTCTTCATTGGTATTTGCAAGTATTTTTATTAATTTAAGCTTGTCATCTCAAGATAAGGTAATCAGATTTCGGGTGGCTTTTTTTTTTTAAATTTGTCAATTGATACACATCGATATATGACATTCATACATTTTCAAGTTTTTTTTATGTAGATATGTGCGGTACTACATTTAAAAAAATCACCTTAATTTTGCTTGATTAAAAATAAGAATGGATCAAATACGTGTGGATTCCGAAAATCAAAAAACAAAGGACCAATTACTCTGTACAAACCATATGCACACTGCTTATAAGTGATCAATAGTTTAACAAGTTTTATACCGATGAATATTAATCGAACTTGGTGTGTCGTTACAGTTATACGCATTTAAATTTTTCAGGACGTTCATTTCTGTTTGCTGTTAAGAAACCATTCTGTGAATTCAACTTCAATCTGTACGGTAAGCAACACCTATTGTGTTTTTCGTGCAAATAATCAAATTGTTTCGAGTCAGTAGGTTTGTAATTTATATGTGTTTATATTGAGGTATTTAGCTTCATCAATAAAACATCTAAACAGGGATGAACATTTGCATTTCATAGTGTTTGGATTCGTTTGCTGATATTGTTGATTAATGTTTCAATTTATACAGGCCTATCAAATCTTCGGCCCATCGATTGCCCATGAATATTTTGCTTCAAAAGTTGGAATAAGTTGATATCACTTTGGTTTATATCACTTTCTCGCGCAGTTGCCTATACATTTGACCATCAAAACTAGAACTATTGTTCTTCAGAACAAAATTGATTCCTACAATTATGTTTTTCTTAATTGGATCTGGTTGTTCTCTATGAAATTTTCATAACCAAATTTCACAAGCATTTCATCAGTTATCATGCATAATATTTGCGCATTAGTTGACTTTATCACTATATTCCAACATGGTTTCCTGGTTTAAGGTAGCTAAGCATGTCTAGGCCATTATTAATGACATTTGTGATATGGTTAAAAAACAATTTGATAATAAATTGAGAAATGTGCTTAGTCGGTCAATTTAAAATATTGGACATAGGATACATTCGATCTTGATAAAGGCATTTGTTTTCAGTCCATTAATTCTTTTTCAAAGGAATACTCCGTTAATTTTTAATTAAATCCCTGTTAAAGAAAATATTTAATACTGTAGACAGCTGACATAATTTAATTGAAATAAATTAGTGTACTTACCAAAGATGGTTAACAAAAACACTGCTACTCTCGCATTGACACGATACCCTGTAAGATTGATGTTAATTGTCTTATTACAATAATTAAACATACAAATAATTATAAGCATTGAAATGTGGGTTAAGATATTCTCATTAATAGACATTATAAACATGACACCTACGAAAGTAAAAGGCCGTTTGATTGTTGATTGGTGTACATTATAAGAGGAAAATAAAATAATTTTCTTGTTTGATGGCAGTCAAATTGCAGTACATTGATTTCAAACATTATTTGCTTTCTGTTTGATCTAATGACTTGCTCAGCCTTCATAATATCAAGTTCTTCGATCTGATTTTGATGTTTAAATGATCAAATGCATTGGACTTTCAATATTATTTTAGAATATGCTAACAGCCTTCCACTTGTCTTACTTCGTAAAGAATTGACCACTGTTCTAATGCATACTTTCATCATAAGCTATGTTACATTTTTGGTTAAATTAGAATCAAGTACTTCATCGTGTTTTGTCGTAGATTAAATACGACAGTAGCTACTTTGGGTGGTTATTCTCAATACACAATTCAGTGCACTTTTACTTTGGCGGATATCATGAACCCAGTCTTATTTTGTTGTTTTGTTACCAGCGTGCAATGATGTAAATGTTGTTAAATGTAATGGTATGCATACATACTGTTTGTTTGTTAGTTTGTTTGTCATGCAGCAAGGTATCTTTATTAGACTTATTATTTTTGCTTTATTGCTCCCTGGTGTCTTCTTCCTTATTGTGAACATAAACATCACTGCATATAATGTGATTTTATGATTTAAGAGTAATAAAGTGTTAAATATATTAACTGTTGAGTTACAATTTTTTTTTTATCGTAATTGATTTTTTATCCAGGAAAATTATTTAAAACAGCGTCAAAGTAATATCATTTTCTACATAAATTTTGAACGACGTCTCTATGCGACTGTGCTTAATGCAAATGACAAAACAGAACTGCTTCTTCGTGAAAGCTGCTTGTTTGCGAGAACAGCAGTATTACAGGTACGGTATGTAAGGAAGCATATACGTATCAAAGATATATGATCGAATGTGTTATTGCACTATCAATTCATTTTGTTACATTAAATTTATAACCATAACCATACCTGAAACGGAGATATGTTTGACAGCAAGATGAGAGGAAACAGTATTCATCTTTGGCGTTGTTACAGGCGATCTTTAAAAAAGACAAACACATATAATTAAACATAACAGTTTTTTGTTGTCAACAATTTCAAACTTGTGAGCAGAAAGATAAAAATTTAAATTTATTCTGTAGAACTTTAATAACATGCAAATGAACAAGTGTTAAAACGTAATATTTTTTTTAAAAAGAGTCCAAGCCGAAAAAAACGTTGAACTATTATAATTCGTATCTTAACCATATTTGAATTTACTTACTTGTCTGTGATTAGGCAAGTGCCTGCAAAGCCAAACGTGTTGTTTGAATCTACACATTCATATTCTACAATAAATTAAAATAAAATCATACTGAAAAGCAAAATATATAGCGGTAAAGATAGATATTTCAAAATAAATAACACATTTGTAAAATGTACAATGCAGTTTAACAAGCCCTGTAAAAGCATTTTTGTTTTTGACATGATATTTTTTCTAGCTCAACTGGCCCAAAGGAGCAGTGTGAGCGTTTCACATCACTTTTCGTCCGTCGCCTGTGGTCGGCGTCCGTCGTCGTCCGTTAACTTTATAAAAAAATCTTCTCCTCTGAAACTACTCGGCCAAGTTTAACCATACTTAGCCAGAATCATCATTCGTGTATCTAGTTTAAAAATAATATTTTCGATGATTCCGCCTTCCAACCAGCATGGCCGACATTGGTAAACATAGAACATATGGGTAAAATGCAAGTGTTGTCTATTATCTTGAAAACAGATCTAGAAAGAGAAAATCTGATATGGGCAAAAATATTAAGAACGTTTAGATTTACCTACTGTCTATTTACATTGAAACGATCAGACGACTTCTAATAGGAATTATTGCCCTTAAAAGATTTTTTGGGGTTCTTTTATCTTGAAATATATGATAGATAGATTGAAACTTTAAATTGCAAAATGATTAACAAGACAAGATACAAAATAGTCAACATAACTGAAACGACGATTTCTACCATTATTTTGTATTTTTGCTTATTATCTTGAAATAGATAGATAGAAACTTAGAACAGCAAAAATGCAAAAAATATGTCAACATGGCCGAAATCTACCGACGACTCATACTTGAGTCATTGCTCTTGATTGACGATTTGAACCCATTTTTAGTGTTTTGCCTATTATCTTAAACATCTTAATAGATATATAGATATTTAAATAGCAAAAATGATCAGCAAGATAAGTTAAATGGTTGAAATCGTCAGTTGTCTCATTATTGGAAGCCTTGCTCTTGAATGACCATTTTAATCATTTTGTTTACGTTTTGTCAATTACCTTGCAACTAGACCGATAGAAACTTTTACAAGAAGAAATTATCAGCAAGACAAGATCTGCAAACAGGTCTTCTTATAGGAGTTATTGCGCTTAAATGAGGATTGTTTTACCCTTTTAGTGTGTTAAGCAATAGAAGATAGAAAGAATATGAAAACAGAAAAAACTTATTTATAAGCAAAACAAGATTAACAAAAAGATTTAGTCATGAATTATATTCTAGTCTGGAGATTATCTATAGTTGAAGATGAACATAGACGTAGTTGGGTCGGCAGGTAGGCAATTGCTTGTAGCATTTATCATAATGAAAATTTACAATGCCTTGAAGTAACAACACAAACATAAAGAGACTCTTTACCTGGGTTTAAACTGTGGTTTTCATTTCTACATATTTTTTTGTAACAGGAACAATCTTCCTCCGATGGTATACAGGAAAAGTTATTTTTGGGCGACTGTACAAAGGCGTATCCTTGAGTATAGTCACATCGACAAGTTCTGTCTAGATCACCAATCCTGTTATCACAAAGAACCTGGCCTTCCTCCATGCAATTATTTTTGAGGTACCAACAGTCTACAGTGCGATTCGATACGATATGGAATGGTTGGTATCGATCTTCACTACAAGGTCCGTAATGCAATCCTCCTTGAATCGTTGGTCGGTTGCCTACAATAGGTACATTAGAGGCTTTTCGTCATTTTACATACAATTAAAGTTGAAACATTTAGTTTCCAGTGTGTTGCCAAATTTTTGATAATTAAATGTGCGTTTTACTCTTTCATCTTAATATATATCAATATCTAAAAGTTTTATGTCTGAAGTAATGACTTACATCTCTGCATTAATACCCCATATAATTGTACAAATAAAGCCATAAAAACATGTATGTTTTTCATTGTGGTTTATTTGTTTGGGTATTTTTTGTGGCTGTCTAGTCCTTAATTAATTCACCATATGATTTGTTCAGGATTGTGATTTTCCTATAATTGTTTTCGAAAACATCTTGGTACAACCTTGAAAGGAAAAAAAATACAACATTGTTTTACAGATCCTGCTTATACTACTTACCTATTCTTATCAAAATTGGCTTTCGTAGGCATTTCATTTCATACTGTTTGCTAAAGAGATCCCAAGCACAATGGAATATTGGGGTTGATGCATTGCATACAACTTTTTCCTTCTCCCAGAACTGTAATTTTGAACAGTCAAAGTAAATACTGATGTTCGATTCTGCGAATACAGCTGATATCTACAACAAAATATTTTTCATCTAAACAAAATGAATAAGAAAAATTGGCATTTAGTCGGTTGTTATGAGGTAGGTCAACGTGTGCATTAAATCCTAACCAGATTATATTAATGTTATAACTGTCTTTGAAATCAATTCAAAATATCCTGTAATAGTTCCTGTGTGTCTTCATGATAGGTTAAGAGAAAGAGAGATAACTACTGTTCATTTTAAAACGAAAATTATTGGTTCAGCTTGCTCTAATAACATGTTTAAAGTAGAACATAATCAGTCAATAACATTTAAGGTAAAAATTATATTGCACCAGATGCGCATTTCAACATTTTATGTCCCTTCAGTAATACTCGAGCCAAAATATTTGAAAGTAAAAAAATTAATACAAACGTCAAAGAGCTGATAAAACCAAAAAGGACCAAAAGTATAGCTTAACCCAAACAAGTAATAGAGCAATGCAAGGGGGACACTTTCCTAAATTTAAAAGGATTTTAAAATTTAATAACAGACAATTCAAATAGAACAATATCCGTAATTTCATACTAGTACCGGGCTAACACTGAACCAACAGAAGTATCGACCCAATGGTAGTAATTACGTATACATTAACGGTACCAATTTTACTGCACCAGATGAGCATTTCGACAATTAATGTCTCTTTGTTGATGATCAAGGCCAAAATATTTTAAAGTTAAAAACATAATACAAACGTTGAAGATGGATAAAGCCAAACCCAGACAAGACATCAGAGTTATGTATGAGGGAGATACATTCCTATTTCAAACAAAATTATAACAAAAAAATTAGATATAATAATATCCGTATGTTCATGGCGGCATGCCAGTTTTGATGTACTGAATAAGATATGTTTTCGAAAATTACTATTTTATTACTTTTAGAGGAGATTTTATTAAAAACAGAAATTAAGCAAACACAACTGATTGGTTGATGTGTGCTTGATGTATAGTGATAAGTATTTAACGCTAATCAAATTGTATACTGTAAACATATTTTATTAAAGAAATCGTTATAATACATAGCTACAAGGGTAAACACATAAATACGCAATATACAAAAGATTCAATAATTGGGATTAGGAAACAAGAGCACTGCTCATATATAAATCCGTCTCCCTAAATTCGAAAATAAAATTACAAGCTATGAATACATGCTGAATAGCAAACGAATAAATATGTAACAAAATACAGTCAATGATTACAATAACAAAAGGAAAATTCATAAGAAAAAAATATATGGCAAAGGAAGGGGGTGAAAGGTGTTTTTAAAAAAATGAGAGTGTTATTAAAGAATGAAACAATATTTTTTATATAGGGGAGGAGTGATTAATAAGAATTATTTGATTGTGGATGTGAATCGATTGCTACTTATAATAAAGTTTTGCACAGCTGTGAATATCAGTATGTTTTGTTCTACTGTGAGTCTATCGGAGCCAAAAAGTAAGACATTAGTGGAAATTTTGATTGGAATCTGTAGGTTGTGAATGTGTCTTTGGCGAGGTACATTGAATATTTTGCATTTTAATAAATAGTGTTCCGTTGTTTCAGGGTCTACACAAACACACTTCGGGGATTGTATCAAGTTTCTGTCACAGAGGTGTTTGTTGAGTCCACTACAGTTCATTCTTATTCTCGCATGATATATTTGACCGGATCTGGAACCACAATAAGAAAATACCGACTTAATTTCACGGTTACTTTTAAAATTATTTTTGAAGGCGAGAAGGGACGGACTATTTTGTAGTTCAATTGTCTGCAAATTGTATATATGATGAGTTTATTGACAATACATCCAAAAGGTAAGATTTGTCATTACTGCTGGTGGTAATGGTAAGATAAATAAAGGCAACAGTAGTATACCGCTGTTCAAAAGTCATAAATCGATTTAGAGAAAACACATCCGGGTTAAAAATTAAAACCGAGGGAAACACATCAACTATAAAAGGAAAACAACGGAACAACAGAACCACTGAAGTGCAACAAAAACAAACGCCAACATACATAGAAACAAACTATTTGATAACAAGTGCCATATTCCTGACTTGCTACAGGACATTTTAAGAACAAATTTTGGGTTGAACCTGGTTTTATGGCCAACCAAACCTCCCGCTTCTATGGCAATGTTAAAAAAAATCGCTAAAATGACAACACTACATTTCAGAAATACAGCACATACAAACACAAGAACACTCAGCACAGAGAAACGCACAAACAAATAATATAATAGTCGTTACAACACGTAAACCGCAGAATAACAACGAACATCTTCTATTAACGACAGCACAAACAGTGACGTATTTTTTGTAACGAATATATAATCTTGAAATTCATACAATTATTTTCACAATACTAGTCCAAACAATTATCATGACTATGACGGTATTGAAAGGCTATTTTAAATAAATGCTGTGACGACGTCATAATTATTTGGACTAACGCAATACTTTATCCATGGAAAATGGAAATTAACTCGACTATATTGGCAAATAAGACACATGTGAAATGTACCGAAAACACAGAACTCAAACCACAAACAATAAGACATAACACAATATCCAACCGAAACCACAACATTATTTATATATATATATTAGCTATATATTGCTAATTCTTTACAATGAAAAGTATTGTAATCCTGACATCAATATTTACACTTCAAACGTACTATCGCAAGAACTAAATTGGTTGACCTCATTTGTTAAAATTTAGAAATAACTTTGATGGTGAACTTAAATCAGCTTCTCCTTGCACGTCTGAACAACAGTAACATATGAATATATGTTGCAAGAAACTGCTCGTTAAATACTGCCATTTTTGCTGATTTAAATAACAATTTTGAATTGATATTCATAATCATAAATATTCAATTAATTGTAAGCTATTAAATACTAAAATCTACTCCTCCATCTATTGCAATAGTTATAGCGACAGATCATTATAATAAGAAAAGTTCCCAAATAAATCAATACAGATGAAGCGGTTTATTCCGTACGTTCGTAGCAAATTTAAGTTTAAATTCCGAAAAAAAGCACAGTGTCCTTATCGACACATAAAAATAAGAATTTATACCGACATTCTGAGTCATATATTAGTTAAAGAGGAAGGATGATGTGTCTCAATTATTTTTACACTGCGGTAAATTAAAAAATAATTATATTCTTTTTTACATCCATACTGCTGTTTGGTTTGCTTTGACTAATGTGACAGCCACTGTATTAGATCTGACAAAGCAAGTACCATATGGATAATCTGTAAATGTAACTTTTTGTCTAAAATGATCTCTCCCGCGTTCATACAAAATGTTCTTTTGTCAACGCATTCAGACACAAATAAAATTATAAAAAAACATTCGATTCTTAATTATTTTAATAGTTATGGTACTTATAACTTTTCTAATCGATAGTTACTTACAAACGTAAGGATAGGAATACTTTGCATAATCTTGTGTTTACCATTCAATGATGATCCTGTAACGGTAAGTAATTGTATAATGTATCACTTATATATATATATATATATATATATATATATATATATATATATATATATATATATATATGTGTATTTATTTACTTATACTTAAAACATATTTAACTAGAAGAATTTCTTATCCCTTAAGTCATGCAATCATTCAATTAGAAATAATTGTAAACATTAATGAACTGAATGACATACGTAAATTTGTTGCATCTCAAAATAATACACACTATCAGTTACAAAATCACAAAAAGCCTCAAACATGAAAGAGGAAGAAAAACATTACGAGAATATTGTGTAACTATATGAGTTTAACCATCGTTCGGTTTACTGTCCTCTAAACATGTCGTTTTTCATTAGCTTAAGAGTTTTCTTCAAATATTTATATATACATACAACAATAATTTGCCATTAAACGGCAGTCTTGAACATTATCCTTAATTTGAAGCATCAGCATTTTACTGTTGTTACTTTTGTTATTTACTATAATTCAATGTAGTGTGTTTGATATAAAAACTATTAAATAAGGCTTATAATTTGTTACGTCAGACGCGCGTTTCGTCCACATAATACTCATGAGTAGCGCTAGATTCACAAATGTTGGAAGGCCAAATGAAATACGACGTTGAAGAGCATATATGTGATTATGTTGATTTAGTTTATCGGTTGTGATACCAAGTGTTTGGATTCCTTGTGTGTTCGTTTATATGGTTGTAGATGTAATTTTGAGAGCAATAGTTTGTTTGTTTTGAAGATCCGTTAACTGATGTTCCCTTTTTAAAGTAAAGCCTGGCTGGACTTAAACTGCATTTTGTGTTTTTTTTTTATTCTCGTTTTTAAAGATGATATCAAAATAAGTTTGGAAAATGTTTATGATGTTTAATCATGTAATATTTGTATTGTATTAACTGACACGGATAATACAGCTACTCAATAATAAGTGATTTAAACAGTGTCACTGAGGGGGGTAAATGTTCTCAAAATCCCCCAAAATATGAAAATTGGTTCAATCATGCATTAGAAATTTTCTAGGTACACAGATGTTTCAGTACTCTTAATAGATTGAGTTCTAAAAAATGGCTATATTCTCCAAAAGGATACAATGAACCTTGAACACAGTTTCAGTACATTGAACATTATGACTGTACTATTGGACGGTGTACATTGTGTGAACATAACTGGTGCATTAAAAATCTATGTGAACTTGATGGTACATGTCAAATATATCATCATACCATCTAAATTGGTGTACTTTAAACACCTTTAAAAACGTCCTGATAACTTATAAATACTCCACCTTGTTATACATCATTCCAGCTTAAAATATAATTGTGCATAAATATCTCTTAATGCAGAGGGCTTACCGAAACGTTAAACAGCATGTCTGATCTATATAAACAGGGTGTTGCTTGTCACTTTCTTTGAGTTCGGATGTAGATAACTTATTAAAATTAATAGACTATTGTTTAACGTAAATTTCAATACATTTGATTATAACTGATTTAAGCTTTTCAGTTAAAAATTGCCTTGTGACCTATAGTACCCTAAATCTACGTCACTTGGTCTCTGTTGGATAGTTGTCTTATTGGAAATCATACCACAATCTTCTTATTTTGATCTTGTAAGTGGGCATGGATTTACCTAAAATTTTAAAACAATTCATTTTGCATGTACGTTTTAAAATTCTTCAGGAATTTTTTATTTCAAACACATTAATTTGTTTGACCGAACTTCTATATGTGTTAATAGTTTATTGAGTGTCACTTTTCAATGAAAATATGTGATTTTTTTTTTATTCCCCACCTAGGGCATTATGATTTTCGGTCTGTGCGTCCGTTCGTCCGTTCGTCCGTCCATTCGTCTGTCCCGCTTCAGGTTAAAGTTTTTGGTCAAGGTAGTTTTTGAAGAAGTTGAAGTTCAATCAACTTGAAACTTAGTACACATGTTTCCTATGATATGATCTTTCTAATTTTAATGCCAAATTAGAATTTTGTCCCCAATTTCACGGTCCACTTAACATAGAAAATGATAGTGCGAGTGAGGCATCCGTGTACTATGGACACATTCTTGTTGGTAATTAATTGGTTATAAGTAAGTCCTCGATGTTCTATATTCTAAAAGACTAAAAAATGTAAATATTATATTTTTGGTTCATAATCTGGATCTGATGGAGTTGTCTTCCAGTGTCTTTTCAATTTTTCATGTTCCTTAAGTTTATTACAAGAATTATAGATATGAATCGTTTAATCCTTTGTTTCATATATAAATTTGTGTTTGTTATGTTATGAATGATGACAACTTCTTGGCTGTTGGATCCTTGATTGGTAACACATAAGGCATTGGTGATGTTAAATCTTCTTCGCCCTAAGGTGTTTACTTAATTGGCACACTTTATGATTTTTATGATTGAAGCGTTTTTATGATTTTTCTTTTATTAACAATAAGGTCAAAATTGATATACTGATTCAGAAATAGCTGCTGTTAAGCTATTAGTTGATTAGCATTGGTTTCTTTTTGAAAGATTTGAAAGAAACAGACTATAGTCAATACTTACACTTCACTGTTCCATAGTTATCTTCCATCGTAAATAGAATTCACCGTAAAATGAAATAATGACCCCTATGAAATATTGTCCGCAAACAAAATTTCATTGACAATATTGTCTGCAGACAATATTTTATGATGAAATACTGTCCAGGACAATACTTTTTTATGAAATAGCGTCCTTCTTTATACAATTTTGTCAGGTTTCAGTGTGAATTTATGTCCATGACAATATTTCCTAATCAAAGTATGTCTTCCCTGAGGATTTATAAGCCATGAAATTGCGAGAGTGTATGAAATCTTGAAAAGTAAGTGTATGATCGTGAACTGCTGCAGTCAATTATTTCTCATCTGTTGTGCACAAGCATGAAGCATGCACACATTTATATTCATAATTGAAAATATTTTGTAAAGCAAGTATTTAACATTAGGAACAAACATAAATTATATCATAAGCTAATTTCAAATTTGAAATTTATAAATTATTAAAGTAAAATATGTTAATTTTACCATATCATACAGTTTAAATATTTGTAAAGTACTGACAATCATTTATAATATATGTTTGTTATTATCGATAATATAAAACATTTTATTAATACCATTGTCCGAAATATTAATTTTGATAACCTCCCATTCATAACACAAAATTTCATGCCACTCCATTCATGAAATATTATCTCAATATACATAAAATATAACTTTGGATAACCTCACTTTATGAAATATCGTCCAATAAGACATTTCATAAATTTCATATGAAATTTTGTCCTTCTCTGGACATTTTTTCAAAGATTGGGACAAAATATCATGATACTTGATCATGAAATATTATCTTAGGGGACAATATTTCATTGGAAAATATTTTGCTTTAAACTTGAGTTTCCCTCGTTGAATATAAACGTTTGAGTCTTAAGCGAAATTATTTGCAAGCTATTTTGTCACTTGAAATCACTATTAACAAATGGTAAACCATGTTTAATATTCCATTCATGTAACAGGAACTGTTGATACCAATATTTGAATCAAATATAAAAAGTAAAGAAATAAAAGAATAAGGTATAGTTGAATTAATCAATTATGTGAACTTTCCATTTTTTTTTTTTATTTATATTTCATGACCTTCGAATTCATCGACCTTCTTTATTTTTGTTATTCCACTTCTAGTATCATTAAGGATATAAAGTATACATGATCATACATGGGCGATTGATATATATCTATATGTACAACACGAATTACTTACATTTAACCAAATTTCAAAAGCTTTCGTGACCTATTTGTGGGATTGTAAAAGGAAGTAATATGTCGGAGTGAGTGTAAAACCAGTATGGTGGGACTGGATGTGGGATAAAGTTTGTGGGAAGAAATGAAAGGAATAGATATTTCATATTCTTCTTCCATTAATTTGCATTCTACTTCTGGTGTATTATCAAAATAGATATTTAAAAAGCGTGTACAAACCATTATAGAAATGGAGAATATGTTTATGGATATTTCTTGCAAAATATTTGTATATAATTTATCCTATTTGAATTCGAATGCAAAGTAATGTCACTGTTAATCAACTATACGGACAAACTTATATTATGGGAATTTAACTCTCCGACAATTTGTTCTAATTTTTGACATCATGTTTTTCAATTTTTTTTGTTATAAAAAGTATAGCAGTTGTCAGTGCGCTCCATACAAAAAGGCACTAAACCCATTGCATTACAATTTCAATTCCAATTGTGTATTAGAGACCATTGGTAAAATTTAAACCAGATTCCCGATTGGCTTAGTTCAACGGTGGTATGACGGGGACTTTGGCATCGCAAGTCATGAACAACAAAGAAAATTGTTACCTAAATCACTTAATAGTGAATTGTCCAGTATAGAGCAAACGAACCTTAACTGGAACGTTATCTGGATGAATATTACATGGTTGGAAATGCATTCATATACGCTACACTGTATAACGAACACACGGTTTCTAACGCTTTGGAGAAGCCAGTGGTTGTGGACATTTTATCATCTTTTCATGACAAATCTGATGTTGTATCAACAGATAAAGCTGTCACTAGTGAAGCAGGAACTGCTTACAATTCTTGAACCCTTGAGTTCACCCCCGATTTCAGTGGACCTCTTGTTGCTCACTCTTCTGTTTCTGTTTTGTGGAATGTTGGTTTTTGTTTTCCTTTTTGGCCATGCTGTTGTTTTTCTTCGACTTAAGGAATTATGTTGCCCCTTGGTATCTTCTCTCTCCATTTTCCTAAGTCTATATCATTATTTCGAATGTCTCACAAAGGGACATGTAATTCAAAGAAAATCTGGGCTTCCCACACACCGCCTCATAATTATTCACGGAAACGATCAAAATCTCTATTCTTTATTTTGCGGCTATCAACACTTCACAACATTATTATAAGGCTAGTCTAGATGTTTCATTAAACGTATCTCTAAGATTCTTTCTACCAATATTTCTAGTTAAGTGTGTTCACCAACATAACTGGAACACGGTTTCCAATTCAAACTACATCTGTTTTGTTTTCAATCTGATGAAATACAAAAAATCTTTTATTAAAACTTAGACTTCAATCAAAACCATATTTCATTAATGATATAAAAACATGGATTATGACCTTGAATTGGGATCTATTACAAACCTGAATTTAATTTCTCTCACTGTCTTTTAATTTCGCACTAGTAACAAACCTTGCACCCTAGATTAGTGTTTCCATATTTTACTTGATATGTTCCGCGCATGGATGTTCACATTATACGGATATTGTTACCAGAGGTGTCCCTGTAACGCAAAAAACTCATAGTACATGGTTCAATTTATACAATGGTAAAAATATGTACACAATGATTATCAAAATCAGCACGAAAACAGAGCAACATATCATATTGAAGGCATTTCAAGAAAATGGGGTTTTATGTACAACTCTTAATCTGTAAATATGAAATTAAAGTGACAAATAAATAGATGTAAACTCTATAACTACAAAAGTCGGTATTCATGTGTAAGGGGGTTCAACTGTTATGCTCTCGTCGACTTATTCCTTTCGTCTTATTAAGAAGACATTGAAAAGGGTTTCTCAAGAAGATTTACAAGAAGTTAGTATATTTTTTACTTTACGTTAGCTCTATGGATGATTTTTACCACTCAATCATTGAATGAAAAACTGATCAAAGAAAGTGACTTAATCATATCTACCCATTTGAATCGAAAGACAGTTATGAAAGTTTCATACCTTTATTTTTACCAAGAAATAAAGATTGAGGGTCGATAGAAATCGTTACTTTACAATAAAAGAATTGTCAGTTTTTGTTACTGATCAATATTCTTTTTCTGTTCAGTGTTTGGTGGGGTGACGATTGTCTCTTATTATCTTTTAGTAATGGTATGTAATGCCCTTCCTTAACTTACAATTAACGTTGTCACCTTTACTATGATATACCCTTGGTTCAGTAGGTTCCATGTAAACAGCAACCATTTTGCCAAGAAAATCCTGATAGAAAACACAACCTGGAACATCGTTTCAAACTCAATATGTGTATGCATGCTATGCTAGAACGTTAAAGTTCCTACTTAAAACGGTTCCTTTTTAATCCTAAAATGTGCTTCTCAACCAACTCTTCCTGTCAAAGTTTTAGAGGAAAGTCTAAAGATCCTGTTGTACACATGTTATCCATGTTTAATAGCTACCAAGTTTAATGGAAATGAAAGAAGTTTTCAATAGGGAATATTTAATACTCTATTCTAGGTTTTTTTTTCAAGAATATTCATTTCGAAATCGTCGTAAAAATAGCTATATATAGGTATACAAAATGTTCAACATTATCCAAAAATCTCTAATGCGAATAGGTATGCAAACTTCATTTCACTGCCATGATCAGGGTACGAATTTCTAACAGTGTCATTCGGCAGAATCATTCTAGAAAATACCAATACTCATGCAAGTGGCCCCAACCACCACATTAAATTATAGTCTCTTTATTCTATGCATTTAAATGTTTGAAGAATATTTTTATTGTTGTTTTAAAATATCTGAAACAATTCCTAAAGCTGTTTATCCGTCATTTGCATAAAGTGAAGGACCCTGATTTAAACTGTATCATAATAAATTTCAAACCAATTACATGAGATACAAATATATCAATAAAAACTGGTTGTTGCCTACTTTTTTAACTTTGGAATCTGCATTATTGGATTTTAAAAATATTTTCATTTAAAGTAAATCTAGTTATATCAATAAAAAATAAGTACCAGGTATTCACAGCTAGAACTTTCCAAAATTATTGTAACATAAGTTTTAAAACTCTACGACAAGACATGTACACTTGACAAATAATTTCTAAAAAAATGATTTTCTATTTATATATTTGCTTGCAAGTTACCTTATATCTGAACAAGTGGTGCTTTTGATGATGCTAGATGTTCTTTATATTCATCAGAAATCTTATTAATTTTTTCATTTCTAAGAGCGATCCTTACCTTAAATGTGATGGTTAGTTTCGTTTTCTACTATGGAGTTAATGTATCTATTTCAGTACATCTAACGAATATATAATCTAACATACTCTTGACTTCAAGAGTTGTGTGATAAGTGTTTATGGCAGGTCTTTATACGAAAGGCAAAGATACTGGGTTATTAAAACTATTAAACAAACATATCTACGCATCTGTTAATTGACATTGACAAGAATAAATATCTGGATAATTAAATAAAAACTATTCAGAGCTGTTACACTAAATTACTTATGTCAAAAGTTTGGTAGTTTTGTCAATTAGGAATAACATGAAAGAGAAGGAGTTTAAATTTAAAACAGTACCTTTGTATTTAACTGTTTGTTTATCATAATAGAACTGTATTGTACCAGTACACTTACTTGACAACAATGCCCAAACTGCCGAAGTAATCTTACAAAATTAATGACATACATAGTTGAGTATAAAAGCTTTAAATTAGATATATAACCCATTTTTTCTCAGTTTATTTGTGTAAGTTACATAGACAAGAGGCTCTCAAGAGCCTGAATCGCTCACCTGTATTTCAGAGGAGAAGATTTTTAAATGTTAGCAAACTTGATGAACAAATTGTGTAAAATTGTCTTTAAAAGGCAATAACTCCTTAAGGGGTCAATTGACAATTTTGGTCATTTTAACTTTTTTGTAGATCTTACTTTACTGAACATTATCGCTGCTTACAGTTTATTTATATATCTATAATAATATTCAAAATAATAACAAAAAACTGCAATATTTTGTTAAAACTACCAATTCGGTGGCAGCAACCCAACAATGGGTTGTTCGATTCGTCTGATAATTTCAGGGCAGATAGATCTTGACCAATTAAACAATTTTACCCCATGTCACATTTGCTCTAAAAGATTTAGTTTTTGAGATATAAGCCAAAAACTGCATTTGACCCTTATTTTCTATTTTTAGCCATGGCGGCCATGTTTGTCGATGGATACAAACTTCGGATACAATTTATAAACAAGATACCCTAAGGAATATTTAGTTAAAGTTTGAAGGTAATTGGCCCAGTAGTTTCAGAGGAGAAGATTTTTTAAATAGTTAACGACGACAGACGACAAAAGACGACGACGACAGACGACGGATGACGACGGACGCCAAGTGATGGCATAAGCTCACATGGGGCCCTTCAGGCCCCGGTGAGCAAACAAGGGAAAAATTGGGAACTATAATTCAGTGTATGTAGATTACGTGACAAAGTCAGCTACATACTAGTTCATGGGACAATGACATAGGAAACAATTAGAACAAGTTCAAAACTTTTCAAAAATGATAAAAGTCACATAATTTACATAGAAATTGTCAAACCAAAATATTGAAATCATATCGTCAAATACACATGATGACATACAATACTGCTTAGTATGAATTTTTTCTGGCAAACTGTCTAAGAGGAGTTGTGTTCAAAAGTGTCATTGACTCATTCTGTTTCAACTTTAACAATTCAAAAAAAACAGTCAAAGTCTCACAACTCCCAAAAGAATTGTGAAATCAAAATGACAGTATAGTATGGTCAAGAATATGACAAATAATCCTACCAAGTATATATTCTTTTGCAGATATGATCAGTGAAGTATTACAGTAAGAAAAATAAAGGAAGCTCATTACTGTCCCCTGCAGTAAGTGTGGTGGGGGGCAATAAAATAAATAATTTTTGTCTCCTTTCTGACACAACAGGTGAAACTAGTGTAGCAGGATCCGCTTACCATTCCGGAGCACCTGAGATCACCCCTTTTTGATGGGGTTCTTGTTGCTCAGTCTTCAGTTTTCTTTGTTGTGTTTTGTATACTGTTGTGGTTTATTTTTTTTATCATTTTTCGTTTTTTGCCATAGCTTTGTCAGTTCTTTTTCGACTTATGAGTTTGATCATCCCTTTGGTATCTTTCGCCTCTATTACATCTTATCTCAGTATGATTTTACCTGTATCAATAACACTATTCAGCAAAAACAAAACAAATAAAGATCAAATTATCTTTCTTTTATTATATCCTATAGTTAAAATCATACTTCTATATTATATTGCTATATATTGATAACATTTAGTATAAGTTTTTACCAATTTATTGTATCTATATTCCTACAGTAAAACACTTTTAAGTAATGAAAATATGTTAATCTAAATCTTGATATCATGTGCATATCAAACCAATCTATTTGTTTGTCTGCAACAGCAAGAAATAAAACCATATATTCTCATAATGTCTTATCTTCAAAAATGTGTATTTGGTGAAGGAAAACCTATTATAATTTGCAGAAAAAGCTTTTCCTTTAAGGTTCCACTAAAGTCAAAATATAGGACACTTCATAAACATCTAAACTTTGCCTGTATTTTTCAACCTATAATGAGTTAAGTCATAAACTATGAGAACATATGTTCATTTAAACATACTTAACATATACACACTGTGAAAATTGTAAATAAACTTGAAATTGTTATGCTGTGGCCAAACCGGTTCTTGGGGTGAACACTAAATTTTCAAAAAAATCTAGAAGCCTGCGAGACGACTTAATTTGCTTAAAATAGGTATGGACGAATACTGTTATATCTAATGCAGGGCAAGCGCATGTTGATTTGTCACATACATAAGTTTAAATGGCATATTTGTCCAATTTCTGTATTGTAACTTCGATATTTGTTCACCTAGATACATGAAATTAACTGAAACTCGAAAATCAATACATTTTCTGAAAAATCAACATGCGCTTGCCCTGCATTAGATATAACAGTATTCGTCCATACCAATTCTAAACAAATAAAGTCGTCTCGCAGGGCTCCAGTTTTTTTTGAAAATTAAGTGTTCACCACAAGAACCGGTTTGGCCACAACATAACAATTTCAAGTTTATTTACAATTTACACAGTGTGTATATGTTAAGTATGTTTAAATGAACATATGTTCTCATAGTTTATGACTTTACTCATTATAGGTTGAAAAATACAGGCAAAGTTTAGATGTTTATGAAGTGTCCTATACTTTGACTTTAGTGGAACCTTAAACAGAAACAGGACATTTGTGCATGTGAGATTTCAAAGAATTACTAATTATAAGAGGTCACAAAAGAACAGAGTATAACAGTCTTATATAGACATCAGTATGAAATGACAAAAATATAAATTATATTTTGAATGATGACTTCATTGATTGTCAAAATGTTTTATATATAGAAAAGTCTAAAGACTTGTGCAATGATACTTGTACATATATATCTATGATTAATACGTTTTTCTATACTACATAAAATGAAATGAGGTATTTCAGATTAAACTTTGAAAGAATAAAAAATGTATAACCAAATATATCAATAAAAAACAAAAGAGTCTGAGAGGTATTGATTGTTACCTCTTTTGGACTTTGGAATCTGCATAATGGGACTGAATTATCTACACAAACATAATACATCAATATAAAGTAACTACATATCAATCTATGCTTAAAGGTTGCAATAAATAATTATATCATAAGCAATAGCTTATAAAATCCAATAAAAATAGGTAGATACTGAAAATAAATTACTAGCATTATACAGCAACAAACTGTCCAAGCTGAAACTTTGTTACATTTTTGATTGCATAGCATCTAATATCTGAACAAGTTGTGGTTTGGCTGATCCTAGATGTTCTTTATATTTATCAGAAATCGGTTTCCCTTTCCATGATGCTGAAGCTCCTAGCAGTGCTCCTAAAGCTGCTCCTCTGTGACAGTTTTCACCTACAATAAATATATATATAGTTGAATATCTTTATAAGTTTTACAAAACTAGCTTTTTAATATATGAGTTGCTTAATAAAAAATTATACCCTTTCTTGTTATATATTTTGCCTTTAACCGCTTTAGTTTTTCAAATAAAATAAATGAAGAATGTGTCCATGGGACACAAATGATGTCCCTGCTTGCATATAATGTTATAAAGGAACATAACTCCAGAACGGTAAAAGTCACTCCACGCAAACTTGATCTGAGTTTTGTGGTAATAAGCATTGTGTATAAGTTTCATAACATTTGGTTGAGACAAACTGAAGTTAGAGAACGGAATCAAAAAATTCAGCAATTTTTTCGTTTTTAAAGGGGCATAACTCCAGAACGGTAAAAGTTACTCCACCCAAATTCTAACTTGATCTGTGTTTTGTTGTAATGAGCATTGTGTATGAGTTTCATAACATTTGGTTGAGGCAAACTAAAGTTAGAGAACTTTGGGATGTAAATACGGACGGACAAGGGTAACACTTAATGCCCCTACGGTGAGGCGGGGGCATAAAAATACAACATTTACAGGTAACATGCAGTGTTTTGACTACTGTACACATTCTTAAAATCTGCCCTTAAAAAATAATCCTCCCTTTATTAGATCACACATTTATCAAACAGTGTTCTAAATGGCACACTGGTAATGTGCACTGGCTTTTCATAATAGATATAAGAAGATGTGGTATGAGTGCCAATGAGACAACTTTCCATCCAAGTCACAATTTGTAACAGTAAACCATTAATAGGTTAGCATAACTTATATAATAACACTTGAATCCATTATATAGTCTAAGAAAATGTTTCTTCCAGCTGTTTTTACAGTTATTTGACATATGTTGGTACCAGGTATACATTCAAGTGTCTAAGAAATGAGAAATCATCTTATCTTATGTAGTAGGTATATACAGAAAAAGTGTACAGAAAAGATGTCATTGTGACTTTTCACCATTTCAGGTCTATATACAGTAGAGATAAATGTGTTACATAAAAATTATTTTTAAAATTTCTTACCTGTGAACGAGTTTTGTCAATTTTTGTCAAATTCCAAGATTTTCAGGATATTTGGGAAAATGTTTAAAGAACAAGGACAGTAAATGAGTAAAGCTTTTAAAGTTAATCTCCTTATTTTTCCAAATTTCCTTATTTTTATAAACTGCCTCAATAGTTAATAGTCCTACTGAGATCTACCTACCACCACAATTAGCATTGGCCAACAGCCCTTCATTTGGATGATCTGCAAATTCTAATGCTAGAAACATCATACTACTTAAAGCACCCTCTATGTAGCAGGCTGATCCTAATCGGCCAGTTGCCATCTGATATATCTGTAAACGTTTCTCTGATCCAAATGGATACCTGAAGTAAAAAATGATGTTAGTCAAATATTGTTAGTGGGAATGATATAGGACTATTCAACATTTGTCTATGCTCAAGCTGTTATTCTATTAACATCTTCTATTTCAGTTAGTTACGGGTAAATATTTTCTTTCAAAGATAATTTCACAATATATAAGGAAGACATAATTTTCTTATTCATAAAGCTGTCTGATATAATGACAGTTCACTGACCTACCAAACTTTGTGTAAAATGTGGCAAATATATGTGTTCAAGCAAACCAGAGAGGTGTCTTCTTATTTCTAGGAAAGGCACTTTGGTTATTGTTTAATTGAATACCATTTTTTATCTGTTGACCTCAGCCAGTCCTGCATTTAAGGTTGTAATTTTAAGAACAAAGAAGCAAAAGAGAAAGACAATGATTTCATTTAAAATATGTTAATAAAACATTTTAGGAGAATATCTTAACTGTTGCAACCAAAAACTCATATCAATACAATACTTATAACGAAATACTCTTGAAGATAACGAAAATTTATTTGAAAATGAAATAAAAGAAGAAAGTGTCTAAGGACATGAATGCCTCTGCTCAAGCTTACTTTTCAAACGAAAATGAGACAGACGAACGGAAAGATGTAAGGACAAAAGGTCAAGGGTAACACTTAAAGATATCTTATAGATATGTAAATTAAGTGCTGATTTAAAAATGAAGAACCATTAAAAGTCAAAGAATACATGTCCAGATGTTAATACAAACTTGGTATTAACAAATGTTAATTAATCTTCTCCAGTCAGGTAGTATGGTTACAGAATATATTTTATATTTTCTTTAACTCCAATTTCAATGTCAAGTTTTTTGTTCAAATTACCCCTTAAATCTAAAGAAAAGAAAAAATGAAAAAAAATCATCATACCCAAATTATCTTTGAAAGAATGAAACACAATGCAATAGAGCCATAGTTGGAATCGGTATGTATTATGGCTTCACATGGGATATATTATTATAATAAAATGCTTCGCTGGGGCGCAGCTTGATACGACCGCAGAGGTCGAACCCTGAACAGTTGGGGCAAGTATGGACACAACATTCAAGCTTGATACAGCTCTGAATTTGGATTGTTATTAAATATTTGACACAGCATAGGTTTCTGACACAGAAAGTATGTGGTCTAAGAACTTGAATTTTTTTAATTTACCTATTATGGTCCAATGTCCAAAATCAAAATACATGGTTAGATTCAGCATATCAAAGAACTCCATATATTCAATTTTTGTTAAAATCAAACAAAGTTTAATTTTGGACCCCAACTTGGACAAACTTGAAAACTGGGCCCATAATCAAAAATCTAAACACATGTTTAGATTCAGCATATCAAAGAACCCCAAGAATTCAATTTTTGCTAAAATCAAATTAAGTTTAATTTTGGACCCTTTGGACCTTAATGAAGACCAATTTAAAAAACGGGACTTAAAATTAAAAATCTAAATACACGGTTAGATTTGGAATATCAAAGAACCCCAATAATTCAATTTTTGATGAAATCAAACAAAGTTTAATTTTGGACCCTTTTGACCTCAATATGAACCAATTTGATAGCGGGGCCCACAAATAAAAAATCTAAATTCATGGTTAGATTCAGCATATCAAAGAACCCCATATATTCAATTTTTGTTGAAATAAAAAAAAGTATAATTTTGGACCCCAACTTGGACCAACTTGAAAACTGGGCCCATAATCAAAAATCTAAACACATGTTTAGATTCAGCATATCAAAGAACCCCAAGAATTCAATTTTTGTTAAAATCAAACTAAGTTTAATTTTGGACCCTTTGGACCTCAATGAAGACCAATTTAAAAAACGGGACCCAAATTAAAAATTAAAAAACACGGTTAGATTTGGCATATCAAAGAACCCCAATAATTCAATTTTCGATGAAATCAAACAAAGTTTAATTTTGGACCCTTTTGACCTCAATATGAACCAATTTGATAGTGGGGCCTACAAATAAAAAATCTAAATACATGGTTAGATTCAGCATATCAAAGAACCTCATATATTCAATTTTTGTTGAAATCAAACAAAGTTTAATTTTGGACCCCAATTTGGACCAACTTGAAAACTGGGCCCATAATCAAAAATCTAAATACATGTTTAGATTCAGCATATCAAAGAACCCCATATATTCAATTTTTGTTGAAATCAAACAAAGTTTAAATACTGGACCCTATCTTGGACCAACTTGAAAACTGGGCCCATAATCAAAAATCTAAACACATGTTTAGATTCAGCAAATCAAAGAACCCCAAGAATTCAATTTTTGTTAAAATCAAACTAAGTTTAATTTGGACCCTTTGGACCTCAATGTAGACCAATTTAAAAAACAGGACCCAAAATTAAAAACCTAAATACACGATTAGATTTGGAATATCAAAGAACCCCAATAGTTCAATTTTAGATGAAATCAAACAAAGTTTAATTTTGGACCCTTTTGACCTCAATATGAACCAATTAGATAACGGGGTCCACAAATAAAAAATCTAAATACATGGTTAGATTCAGCATATCAAAGAACCCCATATATTCAATTTTTGTTGAAATCAAACAAAGTTTAATTTTGGACCCCAATTTGGACCAACTTGAAAACTGGGCCAAAAATCAAAAATCTAAATACATGTTTAGATTCAGCATATCAAAGAACCTCATATATTCAATTTTTGCTAAAATCAAACAAAGTTTAATTTTGGACCCTTTGGACATTAATGTAGACCAATTTGAAAACTGGACCCAAAATTAAAAATCTAAATACACTGTTAGATTCGGCATAACAAATAAATAAATGTGATCAAAGATTTTACAAATCTAATGCGCCATACTGTGCAATTAAAGATTACTTCTTGAAATTTTTCAATATTTGAAATTTGAAAAAAAAATAATATTTGAAGAATAATTCTTTTTAATTTCTGAAATCTGAAATGAGAAAAAATTGGCCCCCCACAATTTCTTTTTATCCCCCCCCCCCCTTTTTCCCCCAAAAAAATTCTTTCCCTCAAGATATGGTCATAATCTCAATTCAAATTTCCAATGGAGTTGGCAACCATAATTACCCATTTAAATTTACCATAGTGCTAACTTAATCTATTTTATAATAGAATTAATAAAAATATAGTGTCAAATCTTTCATATGGATTTTTTTGTAAAAAAAAAAGATGAAAACATTTGCAGATATTTTTACTGGTCTTCCTTTATAAATATGCATTTCTTTAAACATAATTTAAAAGCAGTGTAAGGGAAGTAACCAAAACGTTGTATTTGGATTACCTCCCTTACACTGTTTTAAATTATCTTTATTGTTCATTAACCATTACTTTATACATAATTTAAAAGCAGTGTAAGGGAGATAATTTCAATGATGAATTTGATTTATCTCCCTTACACTGCTTTAAATTATGTTTTGTACTAAAGTATTTGTCCATTAACCAGGACAACCTTGTTTTTCCCCCTTTTTTGCCCCTAATTCCTAAACGGTTTGAGCCATAACCCCCCAAAGCAAATCCTAACAATCCCTTTGTGGTATGGAAACTTGTAGTATAATTTCAGAGAGATCCATACACCGTTCCACAGTTATTGTCTGGAAACTAGAAAATGCTCATTTTTGGCCCCTTTTTGGCCCCTAATTCCTTAACTGTTGGTACCATAACCCCCAAAATCAATCCCAACCTTCCTTTTGTGGTATTTAACCTTATGGTCAAATTTCAAAAAGATCCATTCACTTAAACTAAAGTTAGAGTGCGAAAACCAATATGTATTCGGACGACGACGCCGGACGACGACGACGACGCCGGACGACGACGACGACGCCAACGTCATACCAATATACGACCACAAAATTTTTTTGCGGTCGTATAAAAAATAGCTCTACCAGTATGACATGGTTTAAGAGAAACTGACTGAAATTGGTGCATCACAAGTTTATTGTCTTTGAGCTCACAAGAGACATATTCTCATAGTTTTAGATTTTAATATACCAGATAAGTCATCTGATGTGTAAATTAACCAATTGTGTCCTATTCCTTATCCCAACTTTTTAAGTCTTTATAGACACACCTTTGTCTAGCTCCTTTTGGATTTCACACAAATTCCCTCAGTTTTAACTTTTGTCGATTCAAAATGGATTTAAGATATTTGAATATTGGTAAACTTCTCTAGCCTCTTTTTTACAATATATTTTTTATATTCAATACCATAGAGACTGGCATATTTATCTACATTAAAAAAAACAATTGAATCGTTTTTAAAGACATTTAAAACAAATGTAACTGATAAGATTATATAAGATTTAAAAAAGATTCTACTATATACAACTAACTCTTTGGCTTTTTCAAGCAATGTTTCCACTATCTTTCTTTTTGGTGATCCTCCTAGCTTTTTATGGCCAATAAAATTCTTGACTTCCTCAGTCAGATCCTTTCCATTTAATACTCTATGTAAAAGACGTGCATAGATTTCAATATATGGTATCAAAGATTCTTCAGGGTGTGTTAACTTAATGATATCTATTGTTGCCTTGACACAATCATCCTCTGGTTTGTCTGCATAATGGACAACCCATGGTACTGCTGGGACTAAAGCACCTATCACAATCAGCTGGGAGTCAGAATGTCCTGATTTACTCTTGAACCTATAAAACAGATTAACAATTTAATACAATCTAAATGTTCGTGTTTTAATATATCTCTAAGTAACTGCTATAATAACCTGAATACTTCTAGCAAGGAGATCAGGGCAGGTACTTGACAATCCTTCTAGCAAGGAGATCAGGGCAGGTACTTGACAATCCTTCTAGCAAGGAGATCAGGACAGGTACCTGACAATCCTTCTAGCAAGGAGATCAGGGCAGGTACTTGACAATCCTTCTAGCAAGGAGATCAGGGCAGGTACTTGACAATCCTTCTAGCAAGGAGATTAGGGCAGGTACCTGACAATCCTTCTAGCAAGGAGATCAGGACAGGTACTTGACAATCCTTCTAGCAAGGAGATCAGGACAGGTACTTGACAATCCTTCTAGCAAGGAGATTAGGGCAGGTACCTGACAATCCTTCTAGCAAGGAGATCAGGACAGGTACTTGACAATCCTTCTAGCAAGGAGATCAGGACAGGTACTTGACAATCCTTCTAGCAAGGAGATCAGGACAGGTACTTGACAATCCTTCTAGCAAGGAGATTAGGGCAGGTACTTGACAATCCTTCTAGCAAGGAGATCAGGACAGGTACTTGACAATCCTTCTAGCAAGGAGATCAGGGCAGGTACCTGACAATCCTTCTAGCAAGGAGATCAGGGCAGGTACCTGACAATCCTTCTAGCAAGGAGATCAGGGCAGGTACCTGACAATCCTTCTAGCAAGGAGATCAGGACAGGTACTTGACAATCCTTCTAGCAAGGAGATCAGGACAGGTACTTGACAATCCTTCTAGCAAGGAGATCAGGGCAGGTACCTGACAATCCTTCTAGCAAGGAGATCAGGGCAGGTACCTGACAATCCTTCTAGCAAGGAGATCAGGGCAGGTACCTGACAGGACAGGTACTTGACAATACTTCTAGCAAGGAGATCAGGACAGGTACTTGACAATCCTTCTAGCAAGGAGATCAGGACAGGTACTTGACAATCCTTCTAGCAAGGAGATCAGGGCAGGTACCTGACAATCCTTCTAGCAAGGAGATCAGGACAGGTACTTGACAATCCTTCTAGCAAGGAGATCAGGACAGGTACTTGACAATCCTTCTAGCAAGGAGATCAGGACAGGTACTTGACAATCCTTCTAGCAAGGAGATCAGGACAGGTACTTGACAATCCTTCTAGCAAGGAGATCAGGGCAGGTACTTGACAATCCTTCTAGCAAGGAGATCAGGGCAGGTACTTGACAATCCTTCTAGCAAGGAGATCAGGGCAGGTACTTGACAATCCTTCTAGCAAGGAGATCAGGGCAGGTACTTGACAATCCTTCTAGCAAGGAGATCAGGGCAGGTACTTGACAATCCTTCTAGCAAGGAGATCAGGGCAGGTACTTGACTATCCTTCTAGCAAGGAGATCAGGACAGGTACTTGACAATCCTTCTAGCAAGGAGATCAGGGCAGGTACTTGACAATCCTTCTAGCAAGGAGATCAGGGCAGGTACTTGACAATCCTTCTAGCAAGGAGATCAGGGCAGGTACTTGACAATCCTTCTAGCAAGGAGATCAGGGCAGGTACTTGATAATACTTCTAGCAAGGAGATCAGGACAGGTACTTGACAATACTTCTAGCAAGGAGATCAGGACAGGTACTTGACAATACTTCTAGCAAGGAGATCAGGACAGGTACTTGACAATCCTTCTAGCAAGGAGATCAGGACAGGTACTTGACAATCCTTCTAGCAAGGAGATCAGGGCAGGTACTTGACAATCCTTCTTTATAGAATTGACTCAAATTTTGACCTTTGTGGAATTCTATACATTGAAAAAGACTCCAACAACATGTAACTAAGTGATGGGATTTTAACTCAAAACCCAATGCTTAAAATCTTCACTAGCCAAGGGTTACTGTCCAGCTCTCTCTCCCACCTTGGCAGATGAAGTCAGAATTTCGAACCTATGAGGTTATGATTGAATGGTGGTTGCTTAACATCCAGTGGCAAATATTTCATGCATGTTCAGGACGATATGAGGTTATGATTTCCATATAAGTCGCAGTTGTAGAAAATGTAAATAAACAATTGATAGTGCAGAATTAGCCAAGAACTTTACCCCCAAAACATAGAACAATATTCAGTAACACTTTAACAGTTCTTAATCAACTAATGTGGGTATATTCCTTGTGCAAACAATGGAATGTCAATGTATATATGTGGTTTCTGCTTCATGAAATTTGTAAACACTTCTATTAGCCATATTGAAACCTCTGAACAAAAAATCGTACAATTGCTCTCATTGGCCAAGAATAATGTAGTCGGAGTAGCCATGACTTTTATCTTTCACTAGCAATGCAGCACTGTAATCACAAATATAGTCTTAATCTGCCTATGGTAGAGGGAGGGGACCAGATCATAACCCTCGGCTAGCGAAGATTAATGCTTAAGTGAACAATCAATTAAATATTCGCCGCCCCTCTTGAACTGATAGTAAACTTCCTTTTTAACACCATTGAAAAAATAATTTAAAATTTTTAACTTTTATGTCATATAAGACTTTGATATTATAAATCACAGTAAAGGTGAGACAGGTATAATAAAATAATGTGCAGCTTAATACAACCCCAAAGGTCGAACCCTGAACAGTTGGGGCGAGTATGGACACAACATTTAAGCTTGATACAGCTCTGTATTTGGATTGTGATTAAATATTTGGCACAGCATAGGTTTCTGACACAGAATTAAAGAACCTTAGTGAGCACTCTCACATACACCACGCCCCCACATTGTCACTGGGTAAACAAAATCTCACCAGATTCCTAAGTTCAAAGACTCATAACTCCAACAAAAGTCAACTGATAAAAATTTCTTGTGGATATGCACATTTACATATTATGTCCTCATTAACTACAAAGTTTCATGAAATTCTGTTGTGTAGTTTCACAGGAGTTGCAATGACAAACTGTTGCAGTAGTATATTGAGGCCAATAAGTGCAAAGGGGCATAACTCCTAGAAAAATAAAATGCTCCACTGGGGCGCAGCTTGATACGACCGCAGAGGTCGAACCCTGAACATTGGGGCAAGTATGGACACAACATTCAAGCTTGATACAGCACTGAATTTGGATTGTAATTAAATATTTGACACAGCATAGGTTTCTGACACAGAATGAATGTGGTCTAAGAACTTAAATTTTTTTAATTTACCTATTCAAACCATATCATTATTATTTGCTTTTATATATAAATCAGAAATAACCAATTTAAAATGGAAAATTTTAAAGAAAAAAAAGGAAAAAAAAATCCCCCCCCCAAATTTTTTGAACCCCCTTATGATTCATCACCCCCAAACTCAATCCCAGCCTTCCCTTTGTGGTATGGTACCTTGCAGTACAAATTCAGAGAGATCCATACACTTGAATACAAGTTATTGTCTGGAAACTAGAAAAATGCTTGTTTTTTGGCCCCTTTTTGGCCCAAAATTCCTACACGTTTAGGGCAATTACCCCCAAACTCAAACCCAGCTTTCCCTTTGTGATATGGAACCTTGTAGTACAATTTCATAAAGATCCATACACTTACACACAAGTTATTGTCATGAAACTAGAAAAATGCTTGTTTATTTGCCCCTTTTTGGCCCCTAATTCCTAAAATTTGGAGGCAATTACCCCCAAAATCAATCCCAGCATTCCCTTTGTGATATGGAACCTTGTGGTACAATGTCAAAGAGATCCATACACTTACACACAAGTTATTGTCATGAAACTAGAAAAATGCTGTTTTTTGCCACTTTTTGGCCCCTAATTCCTAAAATTTGGAGGCAATTACCCCCAAAATCAATCCCAGCATTCCCTTTGTGATATGGAACCTTGTGGTACAATGTCAGAGAGATCCATACACTAACACACAAGTTATGTCTGGAAGTTACAAAAATGCTTATTTTTGGCCCCTTTTTGGCCCCTAATTCCTTAACTGTTGGTACCATAACCCCCAAAATCAATCCCCACCTTCCTTTTGTGGTATTGAACCTTATGGTAAAATTTCATAGAGATCCATTCACTTAAGGATGTACTTAGGTGAGGTTTTGGAATTTGTGTCAGATGTTCGAACTCCTTGGTGTTTTTCCATATGATACAAGGTAAAATATTTTGCCCCATAACACATATTTATCTTTTAACATAAGACTTAATAGCTCATAAAAGGTCATTTGACAAAATTTAAGCAGATTCTTGATTTTCTTTCTTTTGATTTGAGACACAAATAATACCAATGCAAATATAAGGTAAAAGTCAGAGTCAGCCTTTTCCCGCCATAATTTATAAATCAAATATCTCGAAAAGGAGCTCCACGACCTATCAATATTTTTACCTTATTTTGATCCTTAACTTTTACTCTTCCACTTTAAAGTATCAATTTTAATTTCTTGATTTATTTAATTTTACCTAAGCTCACCTCAGTACATCCTTAAACTAAAGTTAGAGTGCGAAAACCAATGTGTCTTCGGACGACTATGATTACGCCGGACGACGACGACTCCAACGTCATACCAATATACGACCGCAAAATTTTTTTGCCGTCGTATAAAAATTGAATCATAATAATTTCCTGTCGATATGCACGTCTACATAGTATGTCCTTATTATCTACAAAGTTTCATGAAATTCTGTTGTGTGGTTTCAGAAGAGTTGCAATGACAAGAACAGGACTGACGGACTGTAGGATATTGAGGCCAATAAGTTCAAAGGGGCATAACTCCTAGAAAAAATAAAATGCTCCGCTGGGAGCAGCTTGATACGACCACAGAAGTCGAACCCTGAACAGTTGGGGCAAGTATGGACACAACATTCAAGCTTGATACAGATCTGAATTTGGATTGTGACTAAATATTTGACACAGCATAGGTTTCTGACACAGAATGAATGTGGTCTAAGAACTTAAAAAATTTTAATTTACCTATTATGGTCCAATATCAAAAATCTAAATACATACACGGTTAGATTCAGCATATCAAA